TTTACTTGAAAATGTATCAATTGACCAATTTGGCACATTTGGGCAGACTTGATACAAAATAGTCCAGTGTTGCAATGCTTCACTGGATCATTCTGAAACTTTGCGCACACACTGCTGCCATCTAGTGGCCAAAATCTAAATTGCGCCTAAACTGCAATATTTTATTTGCATTTCAAAGACAATACCAAAAAACATGCGTTTCTATTTTATTTTTTAATGTATTATCTTTTACCAGATCTAATGTGTTCTACTCTCCTACAATAATTTCACATTTCCACAAACTTTCAAAGTGTTTCCTTTCAAATGGTGTCAAGAATATGCATATCCTTCCTTCAGGTCCTGAGCTACAGGCAGTTAGATTTGGGTATGTCATTTTAAGCGAAAATTGAAAAAAAGGGTCCAATCCATAAGAGGTTAACTGCACCTCAGATTGCAGCCCAAATAAATGCTTCACAGAGTTCAAGTAATAGACACATCTCAACATCAACTGTTCAGAGGAGACTGCATGAATCAGGCCTTCATGGTCAAATTGCTGCAAAGAAACCACTACTAAAGGACACCAATAAGAAGAAGAGACTTGCTTGGGCCAAGAAACACAAGCAATGGACATTAGACCGGTGGAAATCTGTCCTTTGGTCTGATGAGTCCAAAGTTGAGATTTTTGGTTCCAACCGCCGCATCTTTGTGAGATGCAGAGTAGGTGAACGGATGATTTCCGCATGTGTTGTTCCCACCGTGAAGCATGGAGGAGGAGGTGTGATGGTGTGGGGGTGCTTTGCTGGTGACACTGTCTGTGATTTATTTAGAATTCAAGGCACACTTAACCAGCATGGCTACCATAGCATTCTGCAGCGATACGCCTTCCCATCTGGTTTGTGCTTAGTGGGACTATCATTTGTTTTCCAACAGGACAATGACCCAACACACCTCCAGGCTGTCTAAGGGCTATTTGACAAAGAAGGAGAGTGATGGAGTGCTGCATCAGATGATCTTGCCTCCACAGTCACCCGACCTCAACCCAATTGAGATGGTTTGGGATGAGTTGGACCACAGAGTGAAGGAAAAGCAGCCAAAAAGTGCTCAGCATATGTGGGAACTCCTTCAAGACTGTTGGAAAAGCATTCCTCATGAAGCTGGTTGAGAGAATGCCAAGAGTGTGCAAAGCTGTCATCAAGGCAAAGGGTTGCTACTTTGAAGAATCTCAAATATAACATGTATTCGCTCTGGATAAGAGCGTCTGCTAAATGACTAAAATGTAGATGTATTTTGATTTGTTTAACACTTTTCTGGTTACTACATGATTCCATATGTGTTATTTCATAGTTGTGATGTCTTCACTATTATTCTACAATGTAGAAAATAGTAAAAATAAAGAAAAACCCTTGAATGAGTAGGTGTGTCCTAACTTCTGACTGGTACTTATTATTTTTTTCCTCCATTGTTTGTAAAACATATCATTTTGATCTGAATGGTCAGGCCTTGTGTCCATAGATCCGTATATGAATTTGAGAGTGGTTACATTTTTACGGCCCCATGCCCCATTCGTTCATGTGGGCAGAATATTATATAGCCTACCTAATTTAAATAGCCTACAGAATATTATATAGCCTACCTAATTTAAATAGCCTACAGATTATTATATAGCCTACATAATTTAAATAGCCTACAGAATTAGTCTCAAATGTTTATCCTCTAAAACGTGGCGGGCTAACTACTTTGTTGGGTTTCAGATTGTCCATTTAAATTCATAAAGACAGTCATCTCTTTAAAAGTGCTAACGGAGGTCTTTTTTTTTTTTTTACCCCAAATTGGAAATTAGGACAAAATTACACTTTCTGTCAAACAGTAACACTTTTTATTTTATTAACCTTTTGTAAGACAATTAGGTGGTTTAAATTCCCCCAAAGTAAGCATATATTTTGCCATTTTTTTTTATATGCGATATGGGCACCAGTGCCATCAGACTTTTAGCTCTAACTTTGGAACGCTATGGGCTTTCAACTCAGTTCCAATTGTATCTGAAAGATGAGACTCTCAACATGGTATAGAGACATTGACTGGAATCTAAAGTTATAGTGGCTGCCACGCCCCCCAGGGGCCAAATCTGGGCTGGCTCCATATCTATATCTTTTCAGGGTACATACGTCTACCGCTGTTCCAAATTTGGTGATTTTATCACAAACTTTGAGTCCACATTTTCAGCATAGCAGCATACCACTAGTATACAAAAGAGAGATTATTTTTCATTCCTCCATATTAACCCAGAAATCATCTTAAATTGTGTTTTTATGTCGGTAACTAGAAGCTTGACAAAGTCCTACGATTTCAGAAGGATCAAAAAAAGGGTTTTGAAGTAAAAAAAAAAAAAAAAGGGGGTTTTGGCCTCTTCGAGTTTTGCTTTTAGGGTTTAAGGGCCAATCTGCGATTGGTAAATACATTTTTTGACTTTTATATTAATGATATACTGTATACCCATCGATTCTTGAGGAATAGGCTAAAACATATAAATGTCTCATGCATTTAGTTCAACTGAGTACACAATCAGATCCCTAAACATAAGCTTGTTTTACAAATGAATTGTAAACAAACACTGTATGAAGCCTCAAAAGATGGTTAAAACTATAGAGTGTTGATCTCTGGGATGGTCAGTATGTCTACCTGCATCCTTAGCTCTGTCCATTAATTTGAGAGAAGGTACAGTACATTTCTGCATCCCCATCCCGCTGCTATTTTTCCAAAACAATGGCGGTGTATCTCTCTGTTATTGGTTGAAATGCAGATTGTACCCAATAAAAAAGATGCACTGCAAAAAGAAAAGAAAAAAAAGAAATCAGAGTATGATGCTTGCACACATGTCAAACACATTCCACTGAGGGCTAAGTGTCTGCGGGTTTTTGCTCCTCCCTTGTACTTGATTGATGAATTAAGGTCAATAATTAGTAAAGAACTCCCCTCACCTGGTTGTCTAGGTCTTAATCAAACACCCGCAGACACACAGCCCTCGGCGGAATGAGTTTGACACCCCTGTGCTAGCGGGTGTACGCACATAGCCTACATTTCCCGACATGCCAAGTTGGTCCAGACATGCGTACTGTTGCGTAATTGTTTCAAAGGTTGCGTACACGGATTCCACTTTTCGGAACACTATGTTATTATCAGGTTATTATACGTAAGAGAAGAGACAGGCTCGGAGAATTTCAGCTGGGGTTCAAGGATCGAGGTAAGTTTATTCTACTTTTATTGAGGCCTGATATTAACAATACTGTTAACCTTAATGAATGACATCTAACAAAAATATCGCTAATTTATAGGCTACTAGTCTTTATAGGCTAGATTAAAGCATTAACTGTTCAATCTATCAGGAAATGGTTATATAACGGGTAAAATATATGAGTCATATTTGCATTTAGCCTACACTGCTCTTTCGATGTGTTCCGTAGCATTGTCAATGGCTTTGTACTGCAACCTATGTATCCCTCCATGTTGTAGAAAACATAAACCAATTGTACATACACTACCGGTCAAAAGTTTTAAAACACCTACTCATTCAAGGGTTTTTCTTTATTTGTAATATTTTCTACATTGTAGAATAATAGTGAAGACATTAAAACTATGAAATAACACATATGGAATCATGTAGTTACCAAAAAAGTGTTAAAGAAATCAAAATATATTTTATATTTGAGATTCTTCAAATAGCCACCCTTTGCCTCTTGGCATTCTCTCAACCAGCTTCACCTGGAATGCTTTTCCAACAGTCTTGAAAGAGTTCCCACATATGCTGAGCACTTGTAGGCTGCTTTTCCTTCACTCTGTGGTCTGACTCATCCCAAACTATCTCAATTGGGTTGAGGTCGGGTGATTGTGGAGGCCAGGTCATTTGATGCAGCACTCCATCACTCTCCTTCTTGGTAAAATAGCCCTTACACAGCCTGGAGGTGTGTTGGGTCATTGTCCTGTTGAAAAACAAATGATAGTCCCACTAAGCCTAAACCAGATGGGACGGCGTATCGCTGCAGAATGCTCTGGTAGCCATGCTGATTAAGTGTGCCTTGAATTCTAAATAAATCACAGACAGTGTCACCAGCAAAGCACCCTCACACCATAACACCTCCTCCTCCATGCTTTACGGTGGGAAATACACATGTGGCGATCATCCGTTCAACCACACCGCGTCTCACAAAGCCACGGCGGTTGGAACCAAAAATCTTCAATTTGGACTCCAGACCAAAGGACACATTTCAACCGGTCTAATGTCCATTGCTTGTGTTTCTTGGCCCAAGCAAGTCTCTTCTTCGTATTGGTGTCCTTTAGTAATGGTTTCTTTGCAGCAATTCGACCATGAAGGCCTGATTCACACAGGCTCCTTGAAATGTTGATGTTGAGATGTGTCTGTTGTTTCTCTTTGCTTATTTGAGCTGTTCTTGCCATAATATGGACTTGGTCTTTTACCAAATAGGGCTATCTTCTGTATACCCTCCCTACCTTGTCACAACACAACTGATTGGCTCAAATGCATTAAGAAGGAAAGAAATTCCACAAATTAACTTTTAAGAAGGCACACCTATTAACTGAAATGCATTCCAGGTGACTACCTCATGAAGCTGGTTGAGAGAATGCCAAAAGTGTGCAAAGCTGTCATCAAGGCAAAGGGTGGCTATTTGAAGAATCTCAAATATAAAATATATTTTGATTTGTTTAACACTTTTTTGGTTACTACATGATTCCATAAGTGTTATTTCATAGTTTTGATGTCTTCACTATTATTCTACAATGTAGAAAATAGTTTAAAAAATAAAGGAAAACACTTGAATGAGTAGGTGTTCTAAAACTTTTGACCGGTAGTGTATATTACCTTTTCAATTGATGTATTATAACCAAATACTACCCATTTATGATAACTCTCTCTCTCCCCCCCCCATACATAGCAGTGTGTGCAGGGTTCACAGACAGACAGACGGACGGTGTGTTATGGAACAGTGAATGGGTACAGCAGCAGCATGAGCGGTGGCGCCCTGGGCATCGAGATAGTGCTGGTCTTCTTCCTGCCTCTATTTCTCCTGCATCGCTATGGAGATGTCCGCAAGCAACACCCACTGGTGCTGTTCGGGACCCTCCTGTCCTGGTATCTCTGCTTCCTCATCGTCTTCATCCTCCCCCTGGACGTCAGCACGGTACGTTGCCCCTAGACGCTGATCTGGGGTCAGTTTAGCATTTCCCCCACTAATGGTTAAGGTTGGTAGTTGCGGAGGGGAAGCTGATCCTATATCTGTAACTAGGGTAAACTTCGCCCCACAGTGGATGAAAAGCTGCTCCTTTAGGAAGCTGTACAATACGGGTGTTAAAGTTATGAATAACCGTTACTCTGTCATGTAAAATAGTAGAACAGTAAATTACTGTACTGGCTTCATTGTGTGTGTGTGTGTGTGTGTGTGTGTGTGTGTGTGTGTGTGTGTGTGTGTGTGTGTGTGTGTGTGTGTGTGTGTGTGTGTGTGTGTGTGTTGTGTGTGTGTGTGTGCGTGCGTGTGTGTGTGTGTGTGTGTGTGTGTGTGTGTGTGTGTGTGCGTGTTTGTGTGCGCCCATTCTTATTTCAGACCATATATAACCAGTGTAAGATTGACAATGAGAAACCCAAGGCTCTGACCAGTGCAGACCACTTTAATCAGACATCCAACTCATCTGTCTTCCCTACGACAAGGTACAGTACCCACAGATCTGGTCCGGTGCGTTACCGCGTTCCTCAACTAGCACCCTGTTACGCTATGCACTGAACGCCATTGACAAAATCCATGACCAATTTGTGTAGTGACTGGCTTCAATGTAGCGTAAGAGGGCGTTTGTAGAGGAACTCACTAACTAACGACCTGGACTAGAGCTAAGGACCCACTGCACTGTCTGCTGACAACTTTACGATTTATGGTTATGCAACAATTGTACTGTATTCATGTGGTTTCCTTTACAATGTGTACATAGTGTTGTCTCTTATGAGGATGACCTGTGCTCCACACGGAGTAAAATGATTTAAGTCAAGTAAGACAGGTGTCTCTTTAATTACAGCACATCTAAAGTATGTCACAAGCCGTGGAGCTATATCCCGGACGGAATCCTGCCAGTGTTCTGGCGTGTGGTCTACTGGATGTCTCAGTTTCTGACCTGGTGAGCTCCAAACACTGTCCACCCCCCTCTGACTGCAATAGCTACCATTTGCCAGAAGATTTTCCACTCTATTTTTGGCTAATGTGTTTTTGTTGTTGTTATTTGTCTGTCTGTCTGTCTGTCTGTCTGTCTGTCTGTCTGTCTGTCTGTCTGTCTGTCTGTCTGTCAACAGGCTGTTTCTCCCCTTCATACAATCCTATGCCCGCTCCGGGGGCTTTTCTATCACTGGAAAGATCAAGACAGCTCTTATCGAGAACGCCATCTACTATGGCACCTACCTGATCATCTTTTGCTCCTTGCTTATCTACGTGGCTGTTCATCCCCAGTGGCAGCTGACCTGGTGAGTAAACCATCCGTGTCCCCCTCCTCCTGCCTCCTGGGTGAAGATTCCCCTAGGGACAGATCCCCCTTCCCCAATCCTAACCATAGCTATTAGTAGGGACATTTCCAAACTGACCCTGGATCAGCGTGTATGTGTCTCTGTCTACTCTTCCAGGCGGGGCCTGCAAACCATTGGCATCGCAGCAGCAAACACCTGGGGGCTTTTCCTCTTGGTGCTGTTGCTAGGTTACGGCCTGGTGGAGATCCCGCGCTCCTACTGGATCTCCTCTTGCCCCGATTACCTGTTGGCCAAGACCTACTTCAAGGTGGCCAAGCTGGCGACGGAAAAGGCAGACGCCGACGAAAACATGGAGGACGCCATGGAGGTGAGATGGATGACAAGAACTAAAGTATGATGGTTTTTAAAGGTCCGCTCGGCGATATGGCGTGTCCGTAGGCATAAGTGGGCAGACCTCCAACACAAACAAAGACAGTACGAAGCAAAGGGGCTAATCTTGGCAGCGTTTGTTCTCACGTTGTACGAGAGAGGAGCGGACTCCTGTGCAGATGGTAAATATTGTCTGGGTCCAAAATGGCTCCTTCTGGGCCCTGGTCAAAAGTGGTGCGCTATTTATGGAATGGGGTGACATTTCTGACGCAACCATTATCTGTTTGGGGAGCTCATATCAGATCAGCCTCTTGCTTTGCACTCTCTCTCAGATGTTTGCACCACTCTTTATAGAGAGACAGTCATATCGCTGAGTCTGAGTAGAAGTATGACAAATCAATGCATTGTTTTTGGGCCATTGAATGGAACGAATGAAATTCCTCTTTGACAGGAGGTGGCAAATGCCAACGAATCCATCGGGTACAGTCACCCACTAAGGAAATGCATTGACACTATTTTGAGAAAGGTAAGACTGTTAGAACAAAGGCAAATACCTCCATTTGTAAACCAGTGGTACAGTCTATAATAATGACAATTAATCATGTTAACCATTAGTATGAATGACTTAAGTCTAAAATCTCAAATAAGCACATCCATTTTAGTGTCCCACGGAAATCCGGGAGAAAATGGTGAGGCTGAACATGGAGGATGAAAGCACACAGAGGGCCCATCCCTCCAGAAGGAGCCTGGTGAAGCTTCATAAGCAGGTCATTATGTTTAGCATTTCCCCCCCGCTAATGGTTAAGGTTAGGATTGGGGGAGGGAAGCTGATCCTAGTGTTGTGTGTTGGCCAGGTGATCTATGCTGGCCAGAGACACAGTCAAACCCAGGTCCAGTGGGCGATCCTTCTGGAAGAGGCCTTCCATTTAGAGGACGTGTGTAAGAACGAGGCCAGTCCCTCCCACCAGTTTGTCCATAGTTTCCTCTCCTCCCAGCCACCCGGCTGGCTCGGCAAACACCTGTACACTCCCACCATAGGTAAGTTCAAGTAGGGGACGACTGAATTCTTCAATAGGCCTATGGCGCCGTCCCAAATGGCACCCTATAGGGCCGTGGTCAAAAGTAGTGCACTATGGGATAGGATGCTATTTGGGACACAATCTACTGTATGCCTACTGTCTATCCATGGTCAGCTTACCTACTCTCTGGTGTACTGTGGACATGTTGAACTCTGGATGTCGTGAAAGGACTGTGTTGTGAAAGCTGTATCAGCCCCTTTAGAAAATCCACTTATCAAATGTAAACAGAGAATTACTTTATTCAGTATCTTCAACAGACTGGTTCTTGATATTCATCATTTGTGTGTGTGTGTGTGTGTGTGTGTGTGTGTGTGTGTGTGTGTGTGTGTGTGTGTGTGTGTGTGTGTGTGAATGTATTATTATCTATCCTCATGTGTGTCCCTCCCTGTCCCAATACTCATGGCAATATCTGACTGAAATGTGAACATTTCGAAAGAGTAAACTCACACACCTTAATTTACCCTGTGAATGGAGCAAAAAGTATACTTATTAAAAAGAAGCAAGACTCAGGCACACCAGTAATCTTTAACGCTTCCAACAATTGAATGGATCTATTGACCAACATTTGTTTTTGTACAGAGTGGTACTGGGAGTGTGTGCTGCGACAGTGGTGCTACCGACTGTTGTCTCTACTGCTGTCTCTGCTCTCTGTGGCTGTGGTGTGGTCCGAATGCACCTTCTTCAGCACACAGCCTGTCCTCTCTCTCTTCGCCGTCTTCATCCAGTTAGCAGAGAAGGACTACAACTACTTGTACATAGAGGTAGCTATTACCTTTGGGTTTCTGTGTGTATAGTTAGCCTTGGTGCCAGAATGCAGCACAAACTGATCCGGGACCAGGCTAGTTTATTGTCATGTTTTCCTGAAAAACGTCTTATCTGCGACAATAAAGTAACTAATACTACTACGTGTTGAGGATAGCATGGTTGCAAACACAGTTTGGATAAATGACACACATGAACATGTATAAGTATGACAGGAAATATGGAGAAACGTGCCAAATGATTGCTGTGATGTTCTGTCCACCACCAGATGGCGTGCTTCGTCACTATTTTCTTCCTGTGTGTTTGTGTCTACTCCACCGTGTTCCGCATCCGAGTCTTCAACTATTACAACCTGGTACCTCACCATCAGACAGACGCCTACAGCCTACAGTTCAGCGGAATGTACGTCTCTCACCGCTCAAATATACCACGTGCTGTGAAGGTGTGTCTATGGTGTCCATTTTAGGACAGCCTCAAAAAAAAGTATTGCTGAAAGAAGTTGAGACTGTGGCTGTCCTAATAATATGGACACCGTAGATGTCACTGTTTGAGCTTGGTTCTAGAGCTTTAGAACTCTAGAACATTTCAGTCTACATGTTTGTCTGAGTATCACTTTGGGTATTGTGTGCATACCTTTAAAAACGCAGGTTGTTCTGTCGACTGACTCCTCCGCTGTGTCTCAACTTCCTGGGTCTCATCCACATGGACGCCTCCATTTCTCACCAGGAGAGAATAGAGACGGCATACACCTCAGTAAGTCAGACTCGGTGTGCATCCCAAATGGCACCCTATTCAATATATACTGCCCTACAAAGGCAAAACGCCAACAGTGAAAATTACAATATATACAGTACCAATACACCTACTCATTCAAGGTTTTTCTTTATTTTTACTATTTTCTACATTGTAGAATAATAGTGAAGACATCAAAACTATGAAATAACACATGGAATCATGTAGTAACCAAAAAGGTGTTAAACAAATCAAAATATATTTTATATTTGAGATTCTTCAAAGTAGCCACCCTTTGCCTTGATGACAGCATTGCGCACTCTTGGCATTCTCTCAACCAGCTTCATGAGGTAGTCACCTGGCATGCATTTCAATTAACAGGTGTGCCTTGTTAAAAGTTAATTTGTGGAATTTATTTCCTTAATGCGTTTGAGCCAATCAGTTGTGTTGTGACAAGGTAGGGGGGGTATACAGAAGATAGTCCTATTTGGTAAAAGACCAAGTCCATATTATGGCAAGAACATCTTAAATAAGCAAAGAGAAACGACAGTCCATCATTACTTTAAGACATGAAGGTCCAGTCAATCTGGAACATTTCAACAACTTTGAAAGTTTCTTCAAGTGCAGTTGCAAAAACCATCAAGCACTATGATGAAACTGGCTCTCATGAGGACCGCCACAGGAAAGGAAGACCCAGAGTTACCTCTGCTGCAGAGGATAAGTTCATTAGAGTTAACTGCACCTCAGATTGCAGCCCAAAATTAATGTTTCACAGAGTTCAAGTAACAGACACATCTCAACATCAACTGTTCAGAGGAGACTGCATGAATCAGGCCTTCATGGTCAAATTGCTGCAAAGAAACCACTACTAAAGGACACCAATAAGAAGAAGGGACTTGCTTGGGCCAAGAAACACGAGCAATGGACATTAGACCGGGTGGAAATCTGACTCCACTTTGTCACAAGATAAAACAGATACTGCAAAGCCTGATTTCAGTCTTAACTCAATTTTGACCAAAAGTTGTAGTTCTGTATTTTGCCTTTGTAGGGCAGTATAGACTCCACAGTGGAGATGTCATAATACCCATAACACCTAGCGGTCAAACAGGGAAATGGTTCCAATCGTTTTTCCACTATTCATTTTTCCCATAGGGGATTTTAGAAACACTTAAAAATAAGGGGTGTGTTTCGTGTAGGCTTACCCTGGTGTGACGTTTTGATAACCATGTAAATCTCTCTCGGACAAGGTGACTTTTATCAATATATTCGGCTCTATTTACTCACAGATATGAAAATGCTAATTAGCATCAAAGTAGACATCATGCAAGACTACAAATCCCTGCAAGCTCCTGCACGTCATCTCTAGCTGGCACCTTTGCTAAGAGGTACATTTAAATAAATGTAGCCAATTTATTCATTACTACGTTAATCTAGCATTAGATAGTTAATCCATAGATTCTTACCTTTGCCTCGATTCGGCAGTCTCGTCCAGATCATCATGGCATTTGTAGTTCTCTATGATAGCCACATTAGCAGCTAATTAGCGTTTCATTTGTTGGGGGTAAATACAGGCGAATAAATTGATAAAAGTCACCTTGTCCAAGAGAGAGTTACACAGTTATCAAAACATGATGCCAGGGTAAGCCTACACGAAACACAGCCCTTATTTTAAGTGTTTCTAAAATCCTGAATGGGATAAATGAATGGTGTAAAGAATGATTGAATTTGACTCATGCTGTGGTACTCTGTAGTGCACTACTTTTGACCAGAGCCCTATGCACATATAGGGAATACAGTGCCTTTTGGGACGAAGCCTCGGTCACACGGGCTCTCTCATTGTAAAGGACAACGAGTTGCTTCATGACGTCTATGTAGAGGATTTAAAGTCTGGCCGTGAAGAACCCACTTGGCATGCTACTGAATAATGAACATCACCCTACGGTGGCGCAGTGGTCTAAGGCTCTGCATCGCAGTGTAACTGTGCCACTAGATCCGGGTTCGAATCCAGGCCTGTCGCAGCCGGCCGCGACCGGGAGATTCATGGGCGGGCACAATTGGCCCAGCGTCGTCCAGGGTAGGGGAGGGAATGCCGGCAGGATGTAGCTCAGTTGATAGAGCATGGCGTTTGCAACGCCGGGGTTTTGTGGGTTCGATTCCCACGGGGGGCCAGTATAAAAAAAAAAAATATGTATTCACTAACTGTAAGTCGCTCTGGATAAGAGCGTCTGCTAAATGACTAAAAATGTAAATGTAAAAAATTTATTTCATCAGCTAGACTTTCTAGGTATCAGAACCACAATTTTTCTCAACTCCATCTTTCTTGTGTCTACCAGATCATGGGCTCTATGCGTCTTCTCTCCTTCATAGCAGATGGTTTCTACATCTATTACCCCATGCTCATAGTCCTCCTCTGCATCGCCACCTACTACAGGTAAGTCTTGTCTGCAGGTCCATTTGACATCCTCTCCAGGGGATTCCCATCATAAGACAACAGGGTCTGTATTGACACGTGTCTCATAGTAGGAGGTGGTGACCTAGGATCAGTTTAGAAGTTATATTCTTCAACAATCAATGGCTATATTCATTTAAAAGTCCAGAAATGGAACCCCAGCTGCCCCTCTAACTAACGCGTGTTTTCCTTCCTTCCTCCCCTCTCCTTGTGTTTTCAGCCTGGGTACCCGCTGTCTCAACCTCCTGGGGTTCCCACAGTATATGAGTCAGAGCGATGACTTGACCTCTGACCTGGTGGAAGAGGGCAGAGAGCTTATCAAAAGAGGTACTATTGTCGGGTGAAGTTGCCCCTAGACTCTGATCCTGGATCAGTTTTGCATTGGTTTATGGTTACTATTGGGGGAGGGGCAGCTGATTCTAGATCTGTACCTAGGGGAAACTTCACCCCAGAGCAACAGTTGTACACTCAGCCTGGATGCCATTTTGGAAGCTCTTCTTTTGGAGTCCAATGTGGATGAGATGAAGTTGGGGACAATATTGCCACTAACTTTGCTTCTTGTTGTTGTTGTAGAAAGAAGAAAACGACAGAGAAGCCAGGATGGGGAGAGTCGGAAACAAGTGAGCACGGTCCTTTCTTATTTTGAGAGTTCTCTGAACACTGGAGAAGACCACAATATCAATGTTCACACTGGTATTAACACCACCGCATGACCAGACTCTGAACCACCAGCCAGCTCATTGGGTTCACTGTCTGTGTAAAATGCTCCAGCATGAAGTTTCCCTTAAGTTAACCCTATACCATGTAAAATAACTGTTCTTCAGGGATGGAGAGAGCGCTATGGAGAACACCGAAATGTGGGGAGGAACAGAAATGGTTATTCCGAGTTAAAGGACAATGACTCTCCCACAGACAACAGTGACAGTGAGTATGAAGTTTACTCCATGGAACACCGTAGGAAAGACTGGGAGTGAGTATGGAGGAACACCGTAGGAAAGACTGGGAGTAGACGAGAGCTTCTCTACACTTAGTGTCCCCTCAATACTCTCTATATCTCCATCATACTACTGTAGAATTATGCCACACAATGTTCAAGATTCTCTGTAACACTGGTCACATTCCCAAATGGTACCCTATTCCCTTTATAGGGCTCTGGTCAAAAGTAGTGCACTACTGTATATGCAGTGCATTCAGAAAGTATTCAGACCCCTTCACTTTTTTCCACATTTTGTTACGTTACAGCCTTATTCAAAATTGATTGAGCAAATAAAAATCCTCAGCAATCTACACACAATAGCACATAATGACAAAGTGAAAAACAGGTTTTTAGACATTTTTGCAAAAAACAGAAATACCTTATTTACATAAGTATTCAGACCCTTTGCTATGAGACTCGAAATTGAGCTCAGGTGCATACTGTTTCCATTAATTATCCTTGAGATGTTTCTACAACTTCATTGGAGTCCACCTGTGGTAAATTCAATTGATTGGACATGATTTGGAAAGGCACACACCTGTCTATATAAGGTCCCGCAGTTGACATTGCATGTCAGAGCAAAAACCAAGCCATGAGGTCGAAGGAATTGTCCGTAGAGCTCCGAGACAGGATTGTGTCGAGGCCCCCACAGATCTGGGGAAGGGTACCAAAATATTTCTGCACCAAGAACACAGTGGCCTCCATCATTCTTAAATGGAAGCAGTTTGGAACCACCAAGACTCTTCCTAGAGCTGGCCGCCCGGCCTAACTGAGCAATCGGGGGAGAAGGGCCTTGGTCAGGGAGGTGACCAACAACCCGATGGTCACTCTGACAGAGCTCTAGAGTTCCTCTGTGGAGATGGAAGAACCTTCCAGAAGGACAACTATCTCTGCAGCACTCCACCAATCAGGCCTTTATGGTAGAGTGGCCAGACGGAAGTCAGTCCTCAGTAAAAGGCACATGACAGCCCGCTTGGAGTTTGCCAAAACGCACCTAAAGACTCTCAGACCATGAGAAACAAGATTGAACTCTTTGGCCTGAATGCCAAGCGTCACGTCCGGAGGAAACCTGGCACCATCCCTACCGGTGAAGCATGGTGGTGGCAGCATCATGCGGTGGGGATGTTTTTCAGCAGCAGGGACTGGGAGACTAGTCAGGATTGAGGCAAAGTACAGAGAGATCCTTGATGAAAACCTGCTCCAGAGTGCTCAAGATCTCAGATTGGGGTGACGGTTCAACCTTCCAACAGGACAACGACCCTAAGCACACAGCCAAGACAATGCAGGAGTGGCTTCGGGACAAGTCTCTGAATGTCCTTGAGTGGTCCAGCCAGAGCCCGGTCTTGAACCCGATCGAACATCTCTGAAGAGACCTGAAAATAGCTGTGCAGCAACGCTCCCCATCCAACACTTTTTTTTTTTTGTCATTCTGGGGTATTTTGTGTAGATTGATGAGGGAAAAAAAACAATTTCATCAATTTTAAAAGAAGGCTGTAACCTAACAAAATGTAGAAAAAGTCAAGGGGTCTGAATACTTTCCGAAGGCACTGTATGTAATAGGGTTCCATTTGGGATGCAGTCGCTGTCTTTACTTAATTAAAACCAACTGATATAATGCTTTGTTCGTCTGCTTGTTGTACAACATGTCTTATTCCATTGGGTTTTTATGATGATCATTTTCAACAGACTTAAAATATTTCATGCTTATGGCCTAATGCATTATAGCCGTCAATCAAATGTTACCAGATCCTCATCACAGCTGTGTCCCAAATGGCACACTGTTCCCTATATAGTGCACTACATTCGACCTGAGCCCTATTGGCCCTAGTCAAAAGTAGTGCACTACATTGGGAATAGGTTGCCATTTGGGACATTACCTAAATGTGTGTTCTCTTCAGCTGCCCAGTTGACCTGGAGAGAGAGCGGAGATCACACTGGGCTACTTCAGGATATGGACCCTAGTATGGACACCGCCAGCCTAGATCCTAGTGATTCTCCAACCCAGAGGTACTAAGCCCCAGTCATTCTCCAACCCAGAGGTACTAAGCCCCAGTCATTCTCCAACCCAGAGGTACTAAGCCCCAGTCATTCTCCAACCCAGAGATACTAAGCCCCAGTCATTCTCCAACCCAGATGTACTAAGCCCCAGTCATTCTCCAACCCAGAGGTACTAAGCCCCAGTCATTCTCCAACCCAGAGGTACTAAGCCCCAGTCATTCTCCAACCCAGAGGTACTAAGCCCCAGTCATTCTCCAACCCAGAGGTACTAAGCCCCAGTCATGATTTGAAATAGTATTAGGGTTAGATTTAATCGGTGTCGCGGAAGATCCCCGTTATAGCGTGATAGATTTTTAAAGGTGATTTCCGAATGAGCCGACATATGCAGCGTTTACCTTGAATGCAGTCTCCGCAAACGCGCAAACATAGCCTTTAAATTTTAATCGCACTATAGAGCGGATCTTCCGCGATTTGGATTGAATCTAGCTAAATGCTAATACTAAATACTAGCCTGGTCCCAGATCTGTTTGGGCTTTTGCCTTCCGTTTTCATTGTCAAGCCATGAAAACTCCATAAAGAGTTGGAAAGAGAGCAGAAACAGACTGGCACCCAGGCTAGTGGATTACCAGACTGCACCCAGGGTTAGTGGGATTACAGGACTGGCACCCAGTTAGTGGATTACAGACTGGCACCCAGGTTAGTGGATTACAGACTGGCACCCAGGTTAGTGGATTACAGACTGGCACCCAGGTTAGTGGATTACAGACTGGCACCCAGGTTAGTGGATTACAGACTGGCACCCAGGTTAGTGGATTACAGACTGGCACCCAGGTTAGTGGATTACAGACTGGCACCCAGGTTAGTGGATTACAGACTGGCACCCAGGCTAGTGGATTACAGACTGGCACCCAGGCTAGTGGATTACAGACTGGCACCCAGGTTAGTGGATTACAGACTGGCACCCAGGCTAGTGGATTACAGACTGGCACCCAGGCTAGTGGATTACAGACTGGCACCCAGGCTAGTGTGATTACAGACTGGCACCCAGGCTAGTGGATGACAGACTGGCACCCAGGTAGTGGATTACAGACTGGCACCCAGGTTAGTGGATTACAGACTGGCACCCAGGTTAGTGGATTACAGACTGGCACCCAGGTTAGTGGATTACAGACTGGCACCCAGGCTAGTGGATTACAGACTGGCACCCAGGTTAGTGGATTACAGACTGGCACCCAGGTTAGTGGATTACAGACTGGCACCCAGGCTAGTGGATTACAGACTGGCACCCAGGCTAGTGGATTACAGACTGGCACCCAGGTTAGTGGATTACAGACTGGCACCCAGGTTAGTGGATTACAGACTGGCACCCAGGTTAGTGGATTACAGACTGGCACCCAGGTTAGTGGATTACAGACTGGCACCCAGGCTAGTGGATTACAGACTGGCACCCAGGTTAGTGGATTACAGACTGGCACCCAGGTTAGTGGATTACAGACTGGCACCCAGGTTAGTGGATTACAGACTGGCACCCAGGTTAGTGGATTACAGACTGGCACCCAGGTTAGTGGATTACAGACTGGCACCCAGGTTAGTGGATTACAGACTGGCACCCAGGCTAGTGGATTACAGACTGGCACCCAGGTTAGTGGATTACAGTCTGGCACCCAGGCTAGTGGATTACAGACTGGCACCCAGGCTAGTGGATTACAGACTGGCACCCAGGTTAGTGGATTACAGACTGGCACCCAGGCTAGTGGATTACAGACTGGCACCCAGGTTAGTGGATTACAGACTGGCACCCAGGTTAGTGGATTACAGACTGGCACCCAGGTTAGTGGATTACAGACTGGCACCCAGGCTAGTGGATTACAGACTGGCACCCAGGCTAGTGGATTACAGACTGGCACCCAGGCTAGTGGATTACAGACTGGCACCCAGGCTAGTGGATTACAGACTGGCACCCAGGCTAGTGGATTACAGACTGGCACCCAGGCTAGTGGATTACAGACTGGCACCCAGGTTAGTGGATTACAGACTGGCACCCAGGTTAGTGGATTACAGACTGGCACCCAGGTTAGTGGATTACAGACTGGCACCCAGGTTAGTGGATTACAGACTGGCACCCAGGTTAGTGGATTACAGACTGGCACCCAGGCTAGTGGATTACAGACTGGCACCCAGGCTAGTGGATTACAGTACATGGTGGGAAAACATAATGTTTTATTATAATATCAGTAGAAGAGAAGAAGAGAAAGGGAAATGATTGATCTGATATTATTTATCCTTGGTCTGTCCCTCTCTAGGTATGCAGGAGGACGTTACCTCTCCCTGGCGTCCTCAAGGACTTACATTTTCGACGATGTCTGAGAGGAGCCCCGGCTCAGAGGCTGTGGGACTAAACTGACCTTACCTCATTGCCCACACGGCTGCTAGTTTCATGGATATTTTCTTCTTCTCTTTTCTCATTTAGCCTGTTTGTCTTTGGAGATAGATATAGGCCTATTGTCATTTTATTTATTTCATAATGGAGATTGCAGGGATTTACATTTGAAGGATTGATCCATCTGGCTAGGGTTTTTTTCCTCATTATGGACTTGTTTTTAGTATTAGATCTTGGGCTGTTCTAAATAAAGGTCATTTTGACAAATATCCGTCTGGGCTAGTTTGTTGTTTTTTCCCTTCATTAATGGGACTTGTTTTTAGTATTAGATAATCTGGGCCTGTATTCATAAAGCGTCTCACAAGGAGTGCTGATCCAGGATCAGTTTAGCTTTTGAGATCATAATGAATAAGATTACATGGACCAGGGGGTCCTGATCCTAGATCAGCACTCCAACTGTGGCTCCAGCAGTCCCCCAAGAACAAAACATTGTCTGACCTCCTGACCTTGGGAACAACCGTGACCTTTAACCTTAGGAACAAGGGATGCATTAGGGCCCCTGATCAAGTATTTACCTCCTTTGTTTTCTATTTGTGTTTTTAAAACCTTTTCATTCTGTAACGACAACTCAGTGATTGCTATTCATCTCACAATGCCTCTTGTTTGCCAGGGTATGCATGTGTTTTCAGGATACGATGACAATACATCTCTTCTTTCTAGGGGATGTTCCTGTGCCTTGAAGGCGTAATGGATGTGTGCACTAGTTTTGCTACATTTTAAATGGTTTTATTTCCATAAATGCTGTATTCAAATATCAATGTTCTTTATAGATTTTTTTAATCAACAAGTACTGACTGCACTGCCGTTTTTTGATCAATAATAACTAAGCTCAGTGATGTTTGAAGCTTGGACCTTAAGTGTGAGGATGGTGTTAACCATGTTAACCATTAGGAACTTTGTGAGTAAAGGTTTGATTATGTAGCTTGGACCTTAAGTGTGAGGATGGTGTTAACCATGTTAACCATTAGGAACTTTGTGAGTAAAGGCTTGATTATGTAGAATATTATTATTATTGAACCCATTATATCTCAAATCCAGTTTCAATAAATCATCCCCCCAAAACATTTTTGAAAAACTATTTTGCATATATAAATCAAATAAATTGTATGTATTTGTAAATACACTTTGATCTACATTATTATTTTGGTTTATGGTGATGAAGGGATGATTTGACCTCCCCATACCTGCTAATGGGAGACTGTAGGCCTAGTGGGTCATATGTGTGGAGACTACTATGGAAAATGAGCATACCTGTACGCTATGTTTCTATGGCTGCGTTCCAATGGGCCCAGGTCAAAAGTAGTGCACTATATAGGGAATAGGATGCCATTTGGTACACTACTATATGTGTGGACTGGTGGTTCCCGTACGGTGGATGTCCATTGGCTCCAGACTCCAGTGTTCTTCTCTGTAGGGGTTAAATGTAGCCCTGAGGCAGGGCAGGGATGACCCACGTTCCACGGGAACTGACCCAGAGAAACCCATTCTGTATTCTCTATTGAAATCCATAACAAACTTCAATGGCTTCAGCTGATCCCGACCAGTCATGCTCTGTACAGTCAGTACACAGAGTTCCCTTCTTGGCCATGTTTGCGTGACGCGCCTGTCTGAGGAGAGAAGACTCGCCGGGGACGGCGGCTGGGCCGGGCAGTGACCACACTGATCTAAAAGACGGGGAGGGGCTAGAGGATGGGGAGGGGCTAGATGATGGGGAGGAGTTAGAGGATGGGGAGGGGTTAGAGGATGGGGAGGTGCTAGAGGATGGGGAGAGGCAATGACCACACTGATCTAAAAGACGGGAGGGGCTAGAGGATGGGGAGGGGCTAGAGGATGGGGAGGGGCTAGATGATGGGGAGGAGTTAGAGGATGGGGAGGGGCTAGAGGATGGGGAGGGGCTAGAGGATGGGGAGGGGCTAGATGATGGGGAGGAGTTAGAGGATGGGGAGGGGCTAGAGGATGGGGAGGTGCTAGAGGATGGGGAGGGGCTAGATGATGGGGAGGAGTTAGAGGATGGGGAGGAGTTAGAGGATGGGGAGGGGCTAGAGGATGGGGAGGGGATAGAGGATGGGGAGGGGCTAGATGATGGGGAGGAGTTAGAGGATGGGGAGGAGTTAGAGGATGGGGAGGGGCTAGAGGATGGGGAGGGGCTAGAGGATGGGGAGGAGTTAGAGGATGGGGAGGTGCTAGAGGATGGGGAGGTGCTAGAGGATGGGGAGTGTTGCTTTTGTCGGTTGGGGGACGAGAAGAAAGGGGGGGTCAAAAGAAGTGCACTATATAGGGAATAGGGTGCCATTTGGGATGCATCCAGAGAGTGTCAGAGGCAGGCAGAAAACATGACTAACGGTCCTCTCCACCCTTTCCTCCCCTACTGTGTCCCTCCCTCCCTCCTTCCATCACTCCATCCCACATCCAGGTTCAAATCAATTCAATAGTTGGTCATTTGGGACAGACTTGAATTGGACAGTCCCCAATAGATGATCTGTAGACGCTTAAACTATCAACTGCTGCAACTCTGTTGATATGCAATAGCTTGCTAAAGTTACGGTAAGGGTTACAGTAAAGGCTATAGGGTTAACTTAGTGTGCTAGGGTTAGGTTTAGGCAGAGCCATATATTTAAATCTAATAATTGACAGAATAATAGTTTGTTGACAGTTAATTGAACATCTATAAACCATCTATTGGGGACGATACAAATACATTTTTACCGTCATTCGTATATCAGTAGTCCTAGCTATCTTGTTTCCATTTTTACAATGTTTGTTGAGGATATGTTAAAGCCACAATCATTAACAGTATAAGCATAACAAGAACAACAAAGTCTTCATATTTGTGAATTTAATTAAACACTTTACTTCAAGAAAGAGGTATGTAATTCATAAGCTGAAAGTTAACATTTTGGAAATAATTAATTCAAATGATTTTACTTTATAAGGCACTGTATATTTGCTGAATTATTTTAAGTCAACTGCATTTCTAAGTGGAGGAGAATCTCAGGTTAGCTTGTGAGAGTTAACTGTGTGATATATATATATATATATATATATATATATATATCTAAGACACCGCCAAAGACAGAGGCTCCCCTTCGCTCTGTTGGACCTGCAGAGCTTGGTGAATATCCTGGGAATGAGAGGGAGAGCATGGAGAGGTTAGCTTGATCACTGTTCAATAAGAACTCGCGAAGAGGGATTGTCTTTCTTTATGGGCTAGGACCTGGATTCAAATAGTCGTCGTTTTCTTTCAAATATTTGAGCTGTGCTTGATTAATCTTGGGACCAATGGAAACAGTCCCAAAGGCGCGCAGAACCCACCCATCCGGCAGACTCAAACTAACGTTCAAAGTATGTGAAAGAAAACCAATACTATTTGAACCCAGGTATCGTGTTGTGAATAGTAACAGTGTTTTTATATTTGAGTGTGAAGATAAGAGTTTCCTATTGGTCCATACTAACAATGAGTTGGTATTGAGCAGAGCCCTCGATCAGATCTTGTATGACCGGATGCTGGGATAGGATGGAGAATGGGATCTTGTCCTCAACCTTGTACCCCAGTTCTCTGTAGACCTTCACAAAGTCCTGTGGGCAACGAACAATCCTAGACTTAACAAGCAGCTCCAAAACAACATCTACACATTTTCGTTCAAAAGACAGATTGATGTTAAAATCGTTTATCAATCAGGTAGATAGTTCCGTTCATCCCGGGAAGTCAAAATGAGGTACATTTTATTTTTTTTGCAAATGAATTTTCAAAATGCTACCAATCACTGTGAAGTGTTAGGTAAGTGTGGGTAAGAGTGGGTAAAATTCACTCATCCTTCGGCATAAACAGCAACATAGGCAATATGATTAAGGAGGAAGTAGTGTTTCATATGTCTTCTAGCCTGGTCCCAGATCTGTTTCGCCATGACAGCACAAACAGATCTGGGACCAGGTTATATATATCTTACAGAAGTGAGTGAAACTCCTGTCCTGTACCTCTTTATATTCCTCAGGACTCTTCCAGTTGGGGCGGAAGCGGTTGTGGCACGCCCCCCGGGCTCCCCCGTGACAGATGGCTCTGAGGAGGGCAGGGATGGACACCCCCTCATCCCCTCTTGGCCCCCCCTCAGTCTCCACCTCCTCCTCCTGCTCGGTCGACTCACTCAACCCCTCCTCCATGTAAGGCACTGACTACAAATTCACAGTTAGTCATCAAACAATGAATAGAAAAGAGCAGACGCTCTGAGCTATCCCACCAAGACCAAGCTACTGCTACTACTATTGTTACTACTACTACTACTACTACTACTACTACTACTACTACTACTACTACTACTACTACTACTACTACTGTTACTACTACTACTACTACTACTACTGTTACTACTACTACTAACTACTACTACTACTACTACTGTTACTACTACTACTACTACTACTACTACTACTTACTACTACTACTACTACTACTACATGTACTACTACACTACTACTACTACTACTACTACTACTACTACTACACTATCTACTACTACTATGCTACTACTATATACTACTACTAACTACTACTACTATACTACTACTACTACTACTACTACTACTACACTACACTACTACTACTACTACTTAACAAATATACTTATACTACATACTACTACTAATATATTTTTATAATACATACTAAAACCCTATACTAATATATACTTATACTACTATTTATTGTTATTTAACTACTAAAATTACTTACTGCCTAATACTACTACTTGTTACTACATACTACAAATACTACTATGTTACTACTACTACTACTAATACTATACTACTACTACTATTTACTATACTATATTGTTACTACACTACTACTATACTATACTATGTTACTAACTACTATACTACTACTACTATTGTTACTACTACTACATGTTACTACTACTACTACTACTTACTACTACTACTACTACTTTTATAATTAGTATTTACAGACCTTTATAGAGCGACATTAAAAATTTTTATACTCCCCTAATCGAATACCACCCCCTGCGTAAACCATGCTCTATACTGAGCTACTATCGTTCCACTACCCTACTACTGGGCTTGCCCTACCGGTCCGGCCGCTGCACGAGCCTATTCGAACAGATCTCTACTACACTTACACTGCGATCCAGTCCTAACCACGCCTACTGCAGGAGTACTATGTACGACTATACTACACGACTACTATTTAACTCACTACGACTAGACTACTACTACGAAGATACACACAGACTACGACGCTACTACGACGACTGTACTACGACTAAGACTACTACTACTACGATACGATGCTACGACTACTACTGACACTACTACTACTACTACTACGACGCTACTACTACTGACTACTGACGACTACGACTACTACTACGACGACGTACTACACTACTACTACTACTACTACTGACACTACAAACTACTACTACAACGCTACAATACTACTACTACTACTACTACTACTACTATGGTACTACACTACTACTAGTACTACTACTATTGTTACTACTACTACTACTACTACTACTACGCGTACTATTACTACTAACTACTACTACTATTACTTTACTACTACTACTACTACTACTACTACTACTACTACTACTACTACTATTGTTACATACTACTACTAATACTGCTATTTACTACTACTACTACTACTACTGCTACTACTAATACTACTACTACACTACTACTACTACTACTACTACCACTACTACTTAGTTATCAAGCCTGGATTACTATAGGAGGAATTACAGAGGGATGTATGAATATACAGTATGTTGATGACACTGGACTTGAAACATATGCACATGATACATCTAATAGGGACTATGAGGTGTAGTTTAGACCAAAACGGTACCCTATTCCCCTATATAGTATAGACCTTAACGGTACCCTATTCCCCTATATAGTATAGACCTTAACGGTACCCTATTCCCCTATATAGTATAGACCTTAACGGTACCCTATTCCCCTATATAGTATAGACCTTAACGGTACCCTATTCCCCTATATAGTATAGACCTTAACGGTACCCTATTCCCCTATATAGTATAGACCTTAACGGTACCCTATTCCCCTATATAGTATACTACTTTTGACTAGAGCCGGGGCTCTATATAGGGGAATAGGCTGCCGGTTTCAAATGCAGCCTTGGATGCAGAGTGACGTCGCCACCTTGAGAAGTTTACTGCTAGAGTGGTGTCGAAGGGGGGTGTCCCATGAGGACACTGAGAGCTCGGACAAAGCCCTGCACAGGGTCAGGATGGGCGGCGAAGTACAGCAGCATGGTCACGTAGTCGACGCGAGCTGGCGAGCAATCGGGGTCGGCGAAAAGCAGGAAGAAAAACTGCAAGAAATATTTGCTGATTAGTTATCAATGCAACATTGTGTAATGATTTGTATTATTCCAGTTATAAATTCAAGCAGTTGGTTGTTGTGAGACCTGGGTTCAAATACTATTTAAAATCATTTCAAATACTGGCTCAATTGAATCAATAGAATAGTTGCAAAACTGCAAACCCCACCCATCTGGGACTCCAGACAGGCTTAACTAAGCACTAAAAGTATTTAAAATATTTCTAATAGCATTTGAACCCAGGTCTCGTTGTTGTTGATATGTGTACCTTCCGTAGATTAGCCAAGCGATCGTAGGGAAGTGGCTCAGACAGGTCTTCGGGAATGGGCAGTGCCCGCTCACTGGGGAACCACAACTCAACCTAATAATGAAGCAAGAAAATAGTATGAGCGACAATGTCAAGTCTTCGCCTACCACCAGTAATGATGCAATTCATAAATTTTGGCAGCCGTCAGTTGACGCTAACCAAGACAAAGATTTGAGCGCCATATGTTTAAAAAGTGCTATTATCATTGTGTGCAATTGGAAAGGTGATGGTGATAGCAGAGTTTGTCGAAGAGCTGGCAGTGTACTGTAGGTAGGTGGTGTAGGGTAAAGTTTCCCCTAGACGCTGATCTGGGGTCAGTTTAGCATTTCCCCCACTAATGGTTAAGGTTAGGATTGGGGGAGGGGAAACTGATCCTAGATCTGTACCTAGGGGAAACTTCACCCCATAGCGTAGGAAGGTACCTGTAAGTACTGCTCCTCAGTCAAAGAGCCTGTGGTCCCAGTGTCCGCCATATTGAAGCGGGCCAACACCTGCACCAGCTGAGGCAGAGTGGGCGTGGGCCAGGGGAGGGCGGCACTCAGCAGGAACTGACGCCAGTCCAGCATCTCTGTGTCCTGGGTTAGCATCGACACCAGCTCCATCAGCTGCACACACACACATGCATACGCACGCACACACGCACGTGCACACACACACACATTTCACACAAACACATTTAAAACTCTCCATGTCTGTTCATGAGAACATGACTGTTTGTGGCCGTGATGACATCCTAGTAGCCATGTTGTGAGTCAGCCAGTCAGTCAGCCAGTCAGCCAGTCAGTGAGTCAGTCAGTCAGTGAGTCAGTCAGTCAGTGAGTCAGTCAGTCAGTCAGTCAGCCAGTCAGCCAGTCAACCAGTCAGCCAGTCAGTGAGTCAGTCAGTCAGTGAGTCAGTCAGTCAGTCAGTCAGTCAGTCAGTCAGTTAGTGAGTCAGTCAGTCAGCCAGTCAGCCAGTCAGTCAGTCAGTCAGTCAGTCAGTGAGTGAGTCAGTCAGTCAGTTAGTCAGTGAGTCAGTCAGTCAGTCAGTCAGTCAGTCAATCAGTGAGTCAGTGAGTCAGTCAGTGAGTCAGTCAGTCAGTCAGTCAGTCAATCAGTGAGTCAGTGAGTCAGTCAGTCAGTCAGTCAGTTAGTCAGTGAGTCAGTCAGTCAGTCAGTTAGTCAGTGAGTGTACCTGAGTCTCAGAGATGTGCATCCAGGGGTCTGGCAGAGCGTTGGTCCCCATGTTCAGAGAGGTGAGCTCCTGCAGGATCTCCCAGAAGTCGGTACTGCACTGCACACCTGACGGGAAACACAGAGAGTTAATGAGGGAATCTCAAGTGTATCAAGGGATGAATCCTTGATTCCTCGCATCCTTTCTCCTCACCTCCTTCTCAAAATGCATTGGAGGAGGTCAGAGGGGAGGAACCTCGGATCTTCTCCTCCAATGCGTTTTGAGAAGGAGGTGAGGAGAAAGGATGCGAGGAAATTCCACAAATTAACTTTTAACAAGGCACACCTGTTAATTGAAATGCATTACAGGTGACTACCTCATGAAGCTGGTTGAGAGAATGCCAAGAGTGTGCAAAGCTGTCATCAAGGAAAAGGGTGGCTATTTGAAGAATCTCAAATATAAAATATATTTTGATTTGTTTAACACTTTTTTGTTTACTACATGATTCCATATGTGTTATTTCATAGTTTTGATGTCTTCACTATTATTCTACAATGTAGAAAATAGTAAAAATAAAGAAAAACCCTTGAATGAGTAGGTATGTCCAAACTTTTGACTGGTACTGTATATTAGTACATATACTGGGGTAATACTGTGTACGTATATTATTGTTGCAGACCTGTGGGCGCCACCTTGCGTAGCTGGTGGTAGAAGGCCTCCAACTGCAGGATGGTGAGAGTGCTGTCTATGGGGAGCTCCAGAGGGGCAGGGCGGGGAGGGGGAGGGGGGCTGACCACCACCCGAATGTCCCCGTTCAGGAAGAAGTCGGTGCATACCAGCATCAGCTCACACTGGAGCTTGGCGGCCGACTCGATGTGGTGACGCACCACATCAGCCAGCTGGTCAATGCTGGGGGGACAGAGAAGTAGGGTGAAGTTGACCCTAGATGCTGAACTTGGGTCAGTTTAGCATTTTCCACACTAATGGTTAAGGTTAGGCTTGGGGAGGGATATCTGATCCTAGACCTGTACCTAGGGGAAACTTCACCCCGGAGCGTACCTGTTCATCTCAGCCAGGAAGCGGGCTCCCAGCCACTCCTCCATGGTCCTGAAGGCCTGCTCTGCCCGTCTGTGCAGACCCCTCACCATGCACAAAGCACAGGCCTTGACCAGCTCCACACGCACCTTCACTGCACTGTCTGGGAGGGTGGGGTACATGAAAGAATTTGTATTTGTATTTGCATTTATTATGGATCCCCATTAGCTGCTGCGAAGGCAGCAGCTACTCTTCCTGGGGTCCGGCAAAATTAAGGCATTATACAATTTTAAAAACATTACAATACATTCATTACACAATTCACAACACACTAAGTGTGTGCCCTCAGGCCCATACTCCACTACCACATATCTACAACACAAAATCCATGTGTACGTGTGTGTATAGTGCACATAGACACACTGGCTTTATTCAAAGCTTTACTCAAAGCCAGTGGCATGTCGTTAGTAAAGACTGAAAAAAGTAAGGGACCTAGACAGCTGCCCTGGGGGATTCCTGATTCTACCTGGATTATGTTGGAGAGGCTTTCATTAAGAACACCCTCTGTGTTCTGTTAGACAGGTAACTCTTTATCCACAATATAGCAGGGGGTGTAAAGCCATTACCATAATTTTTCCAGCAGCAGACTATGATCGATAATGTCAAAAGCCGCACTGAAGTCTAACAAAATAGCCCCCACAATCTTGAGACCCTATACATTTCATTCATTCATGTTTTGCTCTTAAGCAACACGAGGACAGTGGATACTATGCTAACTAGGGACAAAATGAACCAGTTGATTAAAAACAGCCAGTTGACTGATAACATTTACATTTTTACATTTTAGTCATTTAGCAGACGCTCTTATCCAGAGCGACTTACAGGAGCAATTAGGGTTAAGTGCCTTGCTCAAGGGCACATTAACGTCATTTAGCAGACGCTCTTAGCCAGAGCGACTCACAAATTGGTGCGTTCACCCTATAGCCAGTGGGATAACCACTTTACAATTTGGGGGGGGGGGTTAGAAGGATTACTTTATCCTATCCTATAACAGCAAGTTGACTAAAAACAGCCAGTTGATTGATAACAGCCAGTTGATTGAAAACAGCCAGTTGACTGATAAAAGCCAGTTGATTGATAACAGCCAGTTGACTGATAACAGCCAGTTGATTGATAACAGCCAGTTGACTGATAGCAGCCAGTTGATTGATAACAGCCAGTTGATTGAAAACAGCCAGTTGATTGATAAAAGACAGTTAATTGATAACAGCCAGTTGATTGATAGCAGCCAGTTGATTGAAAACAGCCAGTTGACTGATAAAAAGCCAGTTGATTGATAACAGCCAGTTGACTGATAACAGCCAGTTGACTGATAACAGCCAGTTGATTGATAACAGCCAGTTGATTGATAACAGCCAGTTGACTGATGAAAGCCAGTTGATTGATAACAGCCAGTTGATTGATAACAGCCAGTTGACTGATGAAAGCCAGTTGATTGATAACAGCCAGTTGACTGATAACAGCCAGTTGACTGATAACAGCCAGTTGATTGATAACAGCCAGTTGATTGATAACAGCCAGTTGACTGATAACAGCCAGTTGATTGATAACAGCCAGTTGATTGATAACAGCCAGTTGACTGATGAAAGCCAGTTGATTGATAACAGCCAGTTGACTGATGACTGCCAGTTGACTGATAACAGCCAGTTGATTGATAACCGCCAATTGACTGATAACAGCCAGTTGACTGATAACAGCCAGTTGACTGATAACAGCCAGTTGATTAATAACAGCCAGTTGACTGATAACAGCCAATTGACTGATAACAGCCAGTTGACTGATAGCAGCCAGTTGATTGATAACAGCCAGTTGATTGAAAACAGCCAGTTGATTGATAAAAGACAGTTAATTGATAACAGCCAGTTGATTGATAGCAGCCAGTTGATTGAAAACAGCCAGTTGACTGATAAAAGCCAGTTGATTGATAACAGCCAGTTGACTGATAACAGCTAGTTGACTGATAACAGCCAGTTGATTGATAACAGCCAGTTGTTTGATAACAGCCAGTTGACTGATGAAAGCCAGTTGATTGATAACAGCCAGTTGATTGATAACAGCCAGTTGACTGATGAAAGCCAGTTGATTGATAATAGCCAGTTGACTGATAACAGCCAGTTGACTGATAACAGCCAGTTGATTGATAACAGCCAGTTGATTGATAACAGCCAGTTGACTGATAACAGCCAGTTGATTGATAACAGCCAGTTGACTGATGAAAGCCAGTTGATTGATAACAGCCAGTTGACTGATGACTGCCAGTTGACTGATAACAGCCAGTTGATTGATAACCGCCAGTTGACTGATAACAGCCAGTTGATTGATAACAGCCAGTTGACTGATAACAGCCAGTTGATTGATAACAGCCAGTTGACTGATAACAGCCAGTTGATTGATAACAGCCAGTTGATTGATAACAGCCAGTTGATTGATAACAGCCAGTTGATTGATAACAGCCAGCTGATTGATAACAGCCAGTTGATTGATAACAGCCAGTTGATTGATAACAGACAGTTGACTGATAACAGCCAGTTGATTGATAACAGACAGTTGACTGATAACAGCCAGTTGATTGAAAACAGAGATAACGTCCCAAGTGGCCACATGCTGTATTACACCAGGCAGGAAAGCAACGTGTCAGTCTGTTATTATTATGATATGGAAGTCTAAAATCCACAGTCTGATATTATTATGATATGGAAGTCTAAAAGCTACAGTGTGTTATTATTATGACATGGAAGTCTAAAAGCTACAGTCTGTTATTATTATGATATGGAAGTCTAAAAGCTACAGTCTGTTATTATTATGATATGGAAGTCTAAAAGCTACAGTCTGTTATTATTATGACATGGAAGTCTAAAAGCTACAGTCTGTTATTATTATGATATGGAAGTCTAAAAGCTACAGTCTGTTATTATTATGACATGGAAGTCTAAAAGCTACAGTCTGTTATTATTATGATATGGAAGTCTAAAAGCTACAGTCTGTTATTATTATGATATGGAAGTCTAAAATCCACAGTCTGTTATTATTATGATATGGAAGTCTAAAAGCTACAGTCTGTTATTATTATGATATGGAAGTCTAAAAGCTACAGTCTGTTATTATTATGATATGGAAGTCTAAAAGCTACAGTCTGTTATTATTATGATATGGAAGTCTAAAAGCTACAGTCTGTCATTATTATGACATGGAAGTCTAAAATGGCACCCTACTACCTTTATAGGGCCCATAGGGATCTGGTCAAAAGTAGTGCATTATGTAGGTTATAGCAGGACCCTGGACAAAAGTAGTGCACTATATAGGTAATAGGGTGCCATTTAGGATACAGGTTAAATGTGGAAGAGAATCAGAAAGGCTCAGCCAATGCTGTAGTTAGGTACCTTCATGGTCAAGGGCTGCAGCATACTCTTGTCTGATTTTGGTCCGTATGGCCCTCCTGCAGACCTCCTCTGAGTCTTCCTCTGGGGGAGGGGGTGGGCTGGGCTCCTGAGCAGGGGAGGGGGGGCCTAAAAAAAGAAGTCATCCAATTTACACTCCAAAATAAGGCCTGGCTCGGATTTGAATACCCCTGGGGTAGAATAAGTCCAACCTTTCTTCCTGGTGCCAGCTTTCTTCTTGTCCTTGCCAGAGTTGGCTGCGGCGGCGGAGGCTTGGGACATTCTCTGTAGCCGCTCTCTGTCCATCTGCTGCTGAGCCTCCTCACTCTCCTCCGCCTCGCGCTGCGCCGCCTCCGCTGACACCTGGACACACACAACTACCCATGAGAAACACACATACTCACACACACACACACACACACCACACCACACACACACACTTCTTCACCATGTTGTTGATGGCTGTCAGAGCAGTCTGATAGATGTCATGCAGCAGCTTCTCGTCAGGGTCCTGGAAGCCTTTCTGTTTCGTAGAGGCCACTTCAGTAGACGGAGGTCTCCGGGGAATCAGCGGAACACTGCAATAACAGAGAACACAATCACATGATGCAAAACGCATCATCAATGCAAGTTTTTGCTCTGTACTGAAAGTGTCTTTTATCTTGAAAACCTGACTGCTGACACGCAAACAAAAATGGGATTGCATTAACAGTGGACTAATGTGAACAAAATTCCACAATATAGTTTTTGAATGAAATATCCCTTTAAGGTGTGTATATTTTACCACGGTGAGGTAGTCTGGGTAGACTGGACTTTCTCTTTCTCTTACACTTTGGATGTCTTCTTCTCATCTCCTCCAGTGTCTCTTTTACCAGCACTCTTGGTGACTCTTTCAGAACTGGAGGGAGAGGAGTGTTTGATGGTGAGACGACAGGAACTATCGTCGAAAAACCTTATACTGTCAATGCCCCTAAATAAGCAAAGGTAGGAACTATTGAAATAGCTGTGACTCTCCCTGACTGGCAACGGCATACCAGTTCAAATGGTAACCATGACTGCATAAAGGGCCACTTTATTAGGCTCTGCATAAACGGATGATAACTGACAGAAAACCAGGATTTTGGCTAGGGGATTGTAGCTAGCTAGGTCAGTTTCTATTATAAATCAATTTGATTTTTTATTTATTTCTATTTAACCTTTATTTAACTAGGCATGTCACTTAAGAACAAATTCTTATTTACAATGACGGCCTACCAAAAGGCAAAAGGCCACCTGCGGGGACGGGCGCTGGGATTAAAAATAAAAATATAGGACAAAACACACATCACGACAAGAGAGACACCACAACACTACATAGAGATAGACCTAAGACAACAGTCAATGGAGAATAACTGTCAGAAAATCAGGGGTGTATTCATTAGGGCACACCGTAGCAAAACGTTTTATAATGGAAAAATATTTAGCTAACAAAACAAGAGTTTTATTATTGGACAAATGTAGGTAGCGTTGAGATGTGTCTGTTACACACCGTCCCTGTTTGTTTCCATTTGGTTCAGTATGGTTTCTAGTGAATACACCCGAGGTATTTCTGATGAATCAGGATGAATCCCTTCCCCTGAGCAGCAGCCTTCTGCTTGCCTCTTGGATTTGTCCGTCTGGGTTCCTGGCTCCTCCAGCGCCACAATGTCTAGCAGTGGTATGCAGGTGAATTCTGGCCCCGCCTCAGGCAGCACCTGTCTGTACATGCCTGTGTAGTAATCCCGCAGGAGACGCAGAGAGTCCTGGAATCGGTCCACTTCCACCTGGAGAAGGACAACATTAGTACAACATCAGTGCGCACCTCAGCTAATGTGCTAACCAACCTCGAAATGGAGATAAAAACCAAACCTGAAACAATCACGTATTCACTTTTACACGTATTCACTTATACATGTATTCACTTATACACTTATTGATTTATACACGTAAGTAATTAGACAGTCTCTCATGACAGGTTTAACAATTAGGGGCGGTTTCCCAGACACATATTAATCCTAGTCCTGGACAAAAAATATGAATATATATTATATATACAGTACCAGTCAAAGGTTTGGACACAAGGGTTTTTCTCAATTTTTAACTATTTTCTACATTGTAGAATAATAGTGAATACATCAAAACTATGAAGTAACTCATATGGAATCATGTAGTAACCAAAAAGTGTTAAAAAATATCAAAATATATTTTATATTTGAGATACTTCAAAGTAGCCACCCTTTGCCTTGATGACAGCTTTGCACACTCTTGGCATTCTCTCAACCAGCTTCATGAGGTAGTCACCTGGAATGCATTTCAATTAACAGTTGTGCCTTGTTCAAAGTTAATTTGTGGAATTTATTTCCTTCTTAATGCGTTTGAGCCAATCAGTTGTGTTGTGACAAGGTAGGGGGGGTATACAGAAGATAGCCCTATTTGGCAAAAGACCAAGTCCATATAATGGCAAGAACAGCTCAAATAAGCAAAGAGAAATGACAGTCTATCATTACTTTAAGACATGAAGGTCAGTCAATACGGAACATTTCAAGAACTTTGAACGTTTCTTCAAGTGCATTCGCAAAAACCATAAAGCGCTATGATGAAACTGGCTCTCATTAGGACCACCACAGGAAAGGAAGACCCAGAGTTACCTCTGCTGCAGAGGATAAGTTCATTAGAGTTACCAGCCTCAGAAATTGCAGCCAAAATAAATGCTTCACAGAGTTCAAGTAACAGACACATCTCAACATCAACTGTTCAGAGAAGACTGTGTGAATCCGGCCTTCATGGTCGAATTGCTGCAAAGAAACCACTACTAAAGGACACCAAAAAGAAGAAAAGACTTGCTTGGGCCAAGAAACATAAGCAATGGACATTAGACTGGTGGAAATCTGTCCTTTGGTCTGAAGAGTCCAAATTTGAGATTTTTGGTTCCAACCGCCGTGTCTTTGTGAGATGCAGAGTAGGTGAACGGATGATCTCTGCATGTGTGGTTCCCATCGTGAAGCATGGAGGAGGAGGTGTTATGGTGTGGGGGTGCTTTGCTGGTGGTACTGTCTGTGATTTATTTAGAATTCAAGGCACACTTAACCAGCATGGCTACCACAGCATTCTGCAGTGATACGCCATCCCATCTGGTTTGCGCTTAGTGGGACTATCATTTGTTTTTCAACAGGACAATGACCCAACACACCTCCAGGCTGTGTAAGGGCTATTTGACCAAGGAGAGTGATGGAGTGCTGCATCAGATGACCTGGGTTCCACAATCACCCGACCTCAAACCAATTGAGATGGTTTGGGATGAGTCGGAACGCAGAGTGAAGGAAAAGCAGCCAACAAGTGCTCAGCATATGTGGGAACTCCTTCAAGACTGTTGGAAAAGCATTCCAGGTGAAGCTGGTTGAGAGAATGCCAAGAGTATGCAAAGCTGTCATCAAGGCAAAGGGTGGCTACTTTGAAGAATCTAAAATATATTTTGATTTGTTGAACACTTTTTTGGTTACTACATGATTCCATATGTGTTATTTCATAGTTTTGATGTCTTCACTATTATTCTACAATGTAGAAAATAGTAAAAATAAAGAAGAACCCTTGAATGAGTAGGTGTGTCCAAACATTTGACTGGTACTGTATATATTTATATATATATATATATATATATATATATATATATATATATATATATATATTAGATGTTTTATTGTCACACACACCAGTGAAATGTGTTGTGAAAAGTGCAGTGATATGTGTTGTTTTAAAGGGTCAGCCGTAGTAGTATGGCACCCCTGGAGCAAATTTTCAATAGAGATTCTCATTTCAACTTGCTTTTTATTGTCAGCTGGCAAGCGCACGTGAGATTTGGTTCTGGTTGATGCTGGGATAAAATGTTCATGAGCAGGATGGGAGGAGCTTCACCTGCATCAGTGTGGAGAAATGGTTGATGAGCACTGCCGTGTGGTCTTCTAGCCAGCCGTCGCACATGACCGCCGCTCGCTCCTGCCCCGCTTCCTCTTTACGCTTATCACAAATGTCCCACAGACGCTCGCGCAGGTCCTGCAATGTCACGACACCAGACGAGACAGACGGAGAGACAGACGACACAGACAGACAGAAGGACAGACCGACGAACACAGACGGACGGACGGAACCAACATAGAGACAGAGAAACAGACAGACGACACAGACAGACAGACAGAAGGACAGACAGAAGGACAGACCGACGAGACAGACGGACGGACGGAACCAACATAGAGACAGAGAAACAGACAGACGACACAGACAGACAGACAGAAGGACAGACCGACGAGACAGAAGGACGGACGGATAGACAGACGGACCGACATAGAGACAGACAGACTCTCAGCATTGACAAGCAATGGGAAAAACAACAGACTTGAGCAAATATCACACAGACATTGCTTTGATGGCGTTTGTGTTACTGTAGCCTACATCCAGACGCTGGTGCAGCTCTGCCTTGGTGTCCTCGTCGTCTCTCATGTCCTTGGGGATACTGTTATAGTCCTGCTGCCACTGGGACACAAACTCTTGCTTCAGGTCGGGCCGTCGCAGGTACTGCTTGAACTCCTCTCTGCAAGCGTCACAAGATGAGAGAGTTAAGAGTTACTTCTCTCTGTTCAGACTGTGCATAGATCCGAGTCATCAGGGCATCCTCACTGATGCGAGATCAGATCAGCACAGATTACATGTTGTTAGATTGGATGTTAAGTCAAAGTCAAATGTATTTTAAGTGCATTTAACAGGCATCACAGTTCCAAGAAAGAAGGTAATAATACCGTAGCCTGATCCCAGTTCTGTTTGTGATAAAGGAGTTTACAGATATGGGACCAGGCTAATACTATGGGCTTGTCTTACGTCCATTGTGCACTAAACTATGTCCTCACCTGATGTTAAACAGATGGTGAATGATCAAGATGCGTTCCGTGCGGAGGTTCTGCATCACGGCCTTGACGTTGGTCACATAGGAGTTACACACATTCTCCCAGTATGGAACCAAGTACTCTGGGATCTCCTGGGGAAGAGAGACAAAAGATGCTCTTGGGTGAAGTTTCCCTTAGTTACAGATCTAGGATCAGCTTTCTCTCCCCCAATCCTAACCTTAACCATTAGTGGGAGAAATGCAAAACTGACTTAAGATCAGCGTCTAGGGGCAACTTCGCCCTAATCCACAAAAGATAGTAAAGTGGGGAAATGCAGGCTCAAACATTGACAGACTGGGCCAATGAGTGTAAATAGAAGTTTGGGAGGTCCCTCTTGTGGCCATCCATGGCTATTGCAAATTACTCAACTTCTAGAGCTCACTGATTTGAAGAATGAGAGCAGAAGGAGCGGTGCCTGGTTCTCTTTGTTAATTGATTCGTAATTGGCCAGAACCTTTATCTGAACACATCCATGCTTTCTGACTGAGAGCTAATGAGACTATACTTTCTGACTGAGAGCTAATGAGACTATGCTTTCTGACTGAGAGCTAATGAGACTATGCTTTCTGACTGAGAGCTAATGAGACTATGCTTCCTGACTGAAAGCTAATGAGACTATGCTTTCTGACTGAGAGCTAATGAGACTATGCTTTCTGACTGAGAGCTAATGAGACTATGCTTTCTGACTGAAAGCTAATGAGACTATGCTTTCTGACTGAAAGCTAATGAGACTATGCTTTCTGAATGAGAACTAATGAGACTATGCTTTCTGACTGAGAGCTAATGAGACTATGCATTCTGACTGAGAGCTAATGAGACTATGCTTTCTGACTGAGAGCTAATGAGACTATGCTTTCTGACTGAAAGCTAATGAGACTATGCTTTCTGACTGAGAGCTAATGAGACTATGCTTTCTGACTGAGAGCTAATGAGACTATGCTTTCTGACTGAGAGCTATTGAGACTATGCTTTCTGACTGAGAGCTAATGAGACTATGCTTTCTGACTGAGAGCTAATGAGACTATGCTTTCTGACTGAGAGCTAATGAGACTATGCTTTCTGACTGAGAGCTAATGAGACTATGCTTTCTGACTGAGAGCTAATGAGACTATGCATTCTGACTGAGAGCTATTGAGACTATGCTTTCTGACTGAGAGCTAATGAGACTATGCATTCTGACTGAGAGCTAATGAGACTATGCTTTCTGACTGAGAGCTAATGAGACTATGCATTCTGACTGAGAGCTAATGAGACTATGCATTCTGACTGAGAGCTATTGAGACTATGCTTTCTGACTGAGAGCTAATGATACTATGCATTCTGACTGAGAGCTAATGAGACTATGCTTTCTGACTGAGAGCTAATGAGACTATGCTTTCTGAATGAGAACTAATGAGACTATGCTTTCTGACTGAGAGCTAATGAGACTATGCATTCTGACTGAGAGCTAATGAGACTATGCTTTCTGACTGAGAGCTAATGAGACTATGCTTTCTGACTGAGAGCGAATGAGACTATGCATTCTGACTGAGAGCTATGAGACTATGCTTTCTGACTGAGAGCTAATGATACTATGCTTTCTGACTGAGAGCTAATGAGACTATGCTTTCTGACTGAGAGCTAATGAGACTATGCTTTCTGACTGAGAGCTAATGAGACATGCTTCTGACTGAGAGCTAATGAGACTATGCTTTCTGACTGAAAGCTAATGAGACTATGCTTTCTGACTGAAAGCTAATGAGACTATGCTTTCTGAATGAGAACTAATGAGACTATGTCTTCTCTGACTGAGAGCTAATGAGACTATGCTTTCTGACTGAGAGCTAATGAGCTATGCTTCTGACTGAGAGCTAATGAGACTATGCTTTCTGACTGAGAGCTAATGAACTATGCTTTCTGACTGAGAGCTATTGAGACTATGCTTTCTGACTGAGAGCTAATGAGACTATGCTTTCTGACTGAGAGTATGCTTTCTGACTGAGAGCTAATTGCTTCTGACTGACTATGCTTTCTGACTGAGAGCTATTGAGACTATGCTTTCTGACTGAGAGCTAATGAGACTATGCTTTCTGACTGAGAGCTAAAGAGAAGAGAAAAAGCCCATGCAAACCTATAATGGTCCTCTTGTCTTCCACCAGTATGTACTGTACCACTACAGGGTAAAGTTTCCCCTAGGTACAGATCTAGGATCAGCTTCTGCTTTTCCCAATCATAACCTTAACCACTAGTGGGGAAAATGCAAAACTGATCCAAGATCAGTGTCTATGGGAAACTTCACCCTACTCCTACTGTACCTTCGGAAGGGGCTCGTCCACGTACACCCAGTGTGCAGATCCAGGGGTGGGAGCGAAGGGCTCTGTAGGGCTGGTCTTCCCACCATGGGAATTCTCAAAGGAGGAGGCTATGGACAACTTCCTGGAACGCCCCCCGGCTCCTCCTGGAAGCAATGGAAAAAAGGGATATTTTCTGTTCTTTTTTAAAGGAGCAGGGCAGTCCCACTCCTCTCATATTCATTGTTTATTGGATAGGATAGATAGAGGAAAGACAGTAGGCTGGAATCTAACCAGTGTCTTCCAAAGACAGTAGGCTGGAATCTAACCCGGTGTCTTCCAAAGACAGTAGGCTGGAATCTAACCGGTGTCTTCCAAAGACAGTAGGCTGGAATCTAACCCGGTGTCTTCCAAAGACGGTCAGCGGCTCCTGTCCAGACCATGACGTCAGCCCCTCTCCAGGTTCGGGGTCTCCCACACCAGGGTCCAGACAAGGCCTGGCGTATCGTGGGAGGAAGGAGAGGGGAAGCAGCGCGCCGAGGTCCAGACCAGACCAGGGGCGCAACAGGGAGGCGGAGAGTGAGAGGTCGTCACGCCCCGAGCCGGATCCGCCTCCGAGGCGGAATGCCCACCCGGCCCCTACCCTGTTATGTTTATGTTGTGCGGTCGGAGTCCGCACCTTTGGGGGGGGTTACTGTCACGCCCTGACTCAGGGGACTCTTATATGTTGAGTCAGGGTGTGTATATTCTTTGTTGTGTATGTTCTATGTTGTATATTCTAGTATGTTTAGTTCTATGTTGGCCGGTGTGGTTCCCAATCAGAGGCAGCTGTCGCTCGTTGTCTCTGATTGGGGACCATACTTAGGCAGCCTATTGGCACTATTGAGTTGTGGGATCTTGTTCCGTGTAAGGTTTGTTGTGTGTTACCTTTGGACTTCACGTTTCGTTCGTTTATTGTTTTGTCGAGTGTTTATTATGTTAATAAACATGTACGTATATCACGCTGCGCCTTGGTCTGACCCGTCATTAGACGAACGTGACAGAAGATCCCACCAAACGAGGACCAAGCAGTGTGTCCAGGCGGAGCGAATGGCCATGTCACAGGTGGCCGATTTGTGGTCATGGGAAGAGATATTTGCGGGGAGAGGACCATGGGCTAAGGTAGATGCCCAGGCAGGAGAGGAGCAACGGCAACACGGAGGAGGCCGGTCGAGGAGGAAGCCCGAGAAGCAGCCCCAATAAAAAAGATTTGGGGGGCACACGGGTGGTTGGCGGAGCCTAGTCAGAGCAGAGCCAACTCCCCGTACTCACGCGAGGAAGCGTATGACTGGGCAGGCTCCGTGTTATGCGGAGCTACGTACTGTGTCGCCAGTGCGCCGGCACAGTCCTGTATGTCCTGTGCTTGCACCAAGCACATGCCGTGCGAAGATGGGCATCCAGCCAGGACAGGGTGTGCCGGCTCAACGCTCCTGGTCTCCAGTACGCCTCCTCGGTCCCGCATATCCTGCGCCAGTTCTACGAACTGTATCGCCAGTGCGCGTGCACAGCCCAGTGCGTCCTGTGTTGATGCCTCACACATACTGTGCGGAAGTAGGCATTCAGCCAGGACGGGTTGTGCCAGCTCTCCGCTCCAGACCTCCAGTCCGCCTCCACAGTCCGGCCCGGCCTGTTCCTGCTCCTCGCACCAAGTCAGTGGTGCGCGTCGCCAGTCCGGCCTGTTCCTGCTCCTCGCACCAAGCCAGTGGTGCGCGTCGCCAGCCCGGCCCGGCCTGTTCCTGCTCCTCGCACCAAGCCAGTGGATGCGCGTCGCCCGGCCTGTTCCTTTTCCTGTTCCTCGCACCAAGCCAGTGGTGCGCGTCACCAGCCCGGCCCGGGCTGTTCCTGCTCCTTGCACCAAGCCAGTGGTGCGCGTCGCCAGCCCAGCCCGGCCCGGCCTGTTCCTGCTCCTCGCACCAAGCCAGTGATGCGCGTCGCCAGCCCGGCCCGGCCCGTGCCTGCTCCTCGCACCAGACCAGTGGTGCGTTTGTCCAGTCCGGCACGGCCCGTGCCCGTTCCACTGGTGCCTGGTCCGGCACCGGTCAGCTGCTCCACTCCGGAGCCAGAGCAGTCCGCTCCACCGGTGCCTGATCCAGCTCCGGTCAGCTGCTCCACTCCGGAGCCAGAGCAGTCCGCTCCACCGGTGCCTTATCCAGCTCCGGTCAGCCGCTCCACTCCGGAGCCAGAGCAGTCCGCTCCACCGGGGTCCAGTCCAGCCCTGGTCAGCGGCTCCACTACGGAGCCAGAGCAGTCCGCTCCACCGGTGCCTGATCCAGCTTCGGTCAGCGGCTACACTCCAGAGCCAGAGCAGTCCGCTCCACCGGTGCCCAGTCCAGCTCCGGTCAGCGGCTCCTGTCCAGACCATGACGTCAGCCCCTCTCCAGGTTCGGGGTCTCCCACACCAGGGTCCAGACAGGGCCTGGCCTATCGTGGGAGGAAGGAGAGGGGAAGCAGCGCGCTGAGGTCCAGACCAGACCAGGGGCGCAACAGGGAGGCGGAGAGTGAGAGGTCGAGGCGGAATGCCCACCCGGCCCCTACCCTGTTATGTTTATGTTGTGCGGTCGGAGTCCGCACCTTTGGGGGGGGCGTTACTGTCACGCCCTGACTCAGGGGACTCTTATATGTTGAGTCAGGGTGTGTATATTCTTTGTTGTGTATGTTCTATGTTGTATATTCTAGTATGTTTAGTTCTATGTTGGCCGGTGTGGTTCCCAATCAGAGGCAGCTGTCGCTCGTTGTCACTGATTGGGGACCATACTTAGGCAGCCTATTGGCACTATTGAGTTGTGGGATCTTGTTCCGTGTAAGGTTTGTTGTGTGTTACCTTTGGACTTCACGTTTCGTTCGTTTATTGTTTTGTCGAGTGTTTATTACGTTAATAAACATGTACGTATATCACGCTGCGCCTTGGTCTGACCCGTCATTAGACGAACGTGACAGAAGATCCCACCAAATGAGGACCAAGCAGCGTGCCCAGGCGGAGCGAATGGCCATGTCACAGGTGGCCGATTTGTGGTCATGGGAAGAGATATTTGCCGGGGAGAGGACCATGGGCTAAGGTAGATGCCCAGGCAGGAGAGGAGCAACGGCAACACGGAGGAGGCCGGTCGAGGAGGAAGCCCGAGAAGCAGCCCCAATAAAAATTTTTTGGGGGGCACACGGGGTGGTTGGCGGAGCCTAGTGTCAGAGCAGAGCCAACTCCCCGTACTCACGTGAGGAAGCGTATGACTGGGCAGGCTCCGTGTTATGCGGAGCTACGTACTGTGTCGCCAGTGCGCCGGCACAGTCCTGTACGTCCTGTGCTTGCACCACGCATGTGCCGTGCGAAGATGGGCATCCAGCCAGGACGGGGTGTGCCGGCTCAATGCTCCTGGTCTCCAGTACGCCTTCTCGGTCCCGCATATCCTGCGCCAGTTCTACGAACTGTATCGCCAGTGCGCGTGCACAACCCAGTGCGTCCTGTGCTGATGCCTCACACATACTGTGCGGAAGTAGGCATTCAGCCAGGACGGGTTGTGCCAGCTCTCCGCTCCAGACCTCCAGTCCGCCTCCACAGTCCGGCCCGGCCTGTTCCTGCTCCTCGCACCAAGCCAGTGGTGCGCGTCGCCAGTCCGGCCTGTTCCTGCTCCTCGCACCAAGCCAGTGGTGCGCGTCGCCAGCCCAGCCCGGCCCGGCCTGTTCCTGCTCCTCGCACCAAGCCAGTGGTGCGCGTCGCCAGCCCGGCCCGGCCTGTTCCTGCTCCTCGCACCAAGCCAGTGGTGCGCGTCGCCCGGCCTGTTCCTGTTCCTCGCACCAAGCCAGTGGTGCGCGTCGCCAGCCCGGCCCGGCCTGTTCCTGCTCCTCGCACCAAGCCAGTGGTGCGCGTCGCTAGCCCAGCCCGGCCCGGCCTGTTCCTGCTCCTCGCACCAAGCCAGTGGTGCGCGTTCGCCAGCCCGGCCCGGCCTGTTCCCTGCTCCTCGCACCAAGCCAGTGGTGCGCGTCGCTAGCCCAGCCCGCCCGGCCTGTTCCTGCTCCTCGCACCAAGCCAGTGGTGCGCGTCGCCAGCCCGGCCCGGCTGTTCCTGCTCCTCGCACCTAGCCAGTGTGCGCGTCGCCAGCCCGGCACGGCCTGTGCCTGCTCCTCGCACCAAGCCAGTGGTGCGCGTTGCCAGCCCGGCCCGTGCCTGCTCCTCGCACCAGACCTGTGGTGCGTTTGTCCAGTCCGGCACGGCCCGTGCCCGTTCCACCACAGCGTGCCTTGGTCCCGGCACCGGTCAGCTGCTCCACTCCGGAGCGAGAGCAGTCCGCCTCCACCGGTGCCTGATCCAGCTCCCGTCAGCTGCTCCACTCCGGAGCCAGAGCAGTCCGCTCCACCGGTGCCTGATCCAGCTCCGGTCAGCGGCTCCACTCCAGAGCCAGAGCAGTCCGCTCCATCGGGGTCCAGTCCAGCCCCGGTCAGCGGCTCCACTCCGGAGCCAGAGCAGTCCGCTCCACCGGTGCCTGATCCAGCTTCGGTCAGCGGCTCCACTCCGGAGCCAGAGCAGTCCGCTCCACCGGTGCCCAGTCCAGCTCCGGTCAGCGGCTCCTGTCCAGACCATGACGTCAGCCCCTCTCCAGGTTCGGGGTCTCCCACACCAGGGTCCAGACAGGGCCTGGCCTATCGTGGGAGGAAGGAGAGGGGAAGCAGCGCGCCGAGGTCCAGACCAGACCAGGGGCACAACAGGGAGGCGGAGAGTGAGAGGTCGAGGCGGAATGCCCACCCGGCCCCTACCCTGTTATGTTTATGTTGTGCGGTCGGAGTCCGCACCTTTTGGGGGGGTACTGTCACGCCCTGACTCAGGGGACTCTTATATGTTGAGTCAGGGTGTGTATATTCTTTGTTGTGTATGTTCTATGTTGTATAATCTAGTATGTTTAGTTCTATGTTGGCCGGTGTGGTTCCCAATCAGAGGCAGCTATCGCTCGTTGTCTCTGATTGGGGACCATACTTAGGCAGCCTATTGGCACTATTGAGTTGTGGGATCTTGTTCCGTGTAAGGTTTGTTGTGTGTTACCTTTGGACTTCACGTTTCGTTTGTTTATTGTTTTGTCGAGTGTTTATTACGTTAATAAACATGTACGTATATCACGCTGCGCCTTGGTCTGACCCATCATTAGACGAACGTGACAAAGACAGTAGGCTGGAATCTAACCCGGTGTCTTCCAAAGACAGTAGGCTGGAATCTAACCTGGTGTCTTCCAAAGACAGTAGGCTGGAATCTAACCCGGTGTCTTCCAAAGACAGTAGGCTGGAATCTAACCCGGTATATGTCTTCCAAAGACAGTAGGCTGGAATCTAACCTGGTATATGTCTTCCAAAGACAGTAGGCTGGAATCTAACCTGGCATTTGTCTTCCAAAGACAGTAGGCTGGAATCTAACCCGGTATATGTCTTCTAAAGACAGTAGGCTGGAATCTAACCCGGTATATGTCTTCCAAAGACAGTAGGCTGGAATCTGACCTGGTATATGTCTTCCAAAGACAGTAGGCTGGAATCTAACCTAGCATTTGTCTTCCAAAGACAGTGGCGTAGACAGCTAGGCCACCCTAGGCCACCCTAGGCCACCCTAGGCCACCCTAGGCCACCATACCTCTTTTCTAATGTGGTTTAAAAACAGTGTGAGAGCAACTGTTGTTTGTTACAGAATGTTACTAATAGCTAGGCTGATATCAGTAATGGGCCTGACCTGATCCAGACTTGGACAGCTTACGATGGACATCTTTCCCCTCAGATGTGTTCTTCTCAATATTGCTCTGTGAACCTAAAGAATGGAACAGAATTGTTTGACGACATGGTTCTCTTGTCTTTGAAACAAACTGTCGAAGCATGGGCTTCGTCCCAAATGGCACCCTATTCCTTATATAGTACACAACTCACAACTTTTTTTTACAAGGGCCCATAGGGCTCTGGTCAAAATTAGTGCACTATGCAGGGAATAGGGTGCCATTTGGGACACATCATGGTTGATAGCCGACCTTTGGGGGAGCGGGTGTTGGACTTGGAGCGGGAGCGTTTCACAGCTGGAGTCAGGCCCTCCTGGGTGAGGGTGGAGGTGGACTCAGTGGGCGCTGGGGCCGCAACCGGGGCTACCTGGACGAGAGGAGGCGAGACCGCTGGTGCCTTCCCACTGTCCAAAACAACTTCCTCACCTGGTGGGGCAAAATAATTACACATACAACGAGTTTAGGTACAGTAGGCATCTCACTGGGCGATCTTAAGAGTCAAAGTAGTATCAAGTCAAATCTCCCATTTTGGGGGATTAATAACTTCTCTTAAATCAACCATTCCCTTAGTGCCCTGTACCTTTTTCAGACTGCATCATGGCCTGGTACAGGATGGATTCCACTTTTCTGAAGAGCATGTCCTCCGACATCTCAGCAATCAGCCTCACCAGAATGCTCTGTTTCCCAGAGAACCACTTCTCCAGCTTGGGCCAGGTATCCTGGAAGGCTGTGATCCTGCAGTGATAATAACAAGGGGTGTATTCATTAGCGCACACCATAGCAAAATGTTTTGCAATGAAATAAATTCAAACAAGTATTTTGGCCTGTTTGCTTCTGCTTGGTTCCTAGTGAATACACCCAATGTGTGAAGAGAACAATGGTGGGTCAGTGGACTAGTTTAAAAGTTCAAAGACACACAGAGCCCTGAAAATCCCTTACAACAATGTTAGATGAGATGGTGTACTCAGTATCAGATCTGGGTTCAAATAGTATTTGTTTTTCTTTCAAACGCTTTAGCTCTACTTGATTGATCTTGACTGGCACAATGGCACCAATGGAGTAGTCCCAAAAGTGTAATGCCCACCCACTTTGTCACTCAAGGCAGTCTCGATCGAACCCTCAAATTATTTGAAAGAAAACAAATACTATTTGAACCCAGGTGTGCGTCTTGTGTTCATTGTACTACTTGTACCTGTGCTGGATCTGTCTCTTCTCTAGGCTCTTGTCCCTGGCGATGACAACATTGTGCTCTCTAGCAGGGGCACAGCTCTCCTCACCAGCCCCAGCCCAGGCCCCGGCCTGGCCAGAGCTCTCCTCCTTACCTACAAACAGTGTCATTCATTACACTTATGCAACTCATACGACATGTGGAGAGGGTCAAGAGCTTCAAGTTCCTCAGTGTCCACATCACTGAGGACTTCACATGGTCCTCTCACACCAAAACAGTCGTGAAGAAGGCAACGCCTCTTCTCCCTCAGGAGGGTGAAACGATTTGGCATGGCCTCTCAGATCCTCAGGAAGTTTTACAGCTGCACCATCGAGAGCATCCTGACTTGCTGTATCACCATCTGGTATGGTAACTGCAATGCCCATGACCAGAAGGCCCTACAGAGGTTGGTGCGGACGGCCCAGCTTATCACTGGGGGCTAGCTCCCAGCCATCCAGGACATAAAGTAAACATTTCACTGTACTGTTATATACCTGTTGTATCCTGTACTGTTATATACCTGTTGTATCCTGTACTGTTATATACCTGTTGTATCCTGTACTGTGATATACCTGTTGTATCCTGTACTGTTATATACCTGTTGTATCCTGTACTGTTATATACCTGTTGTATCCTGTACTGTTATATACCTGTTGTATCCTGTACTGTTATATACCTGTTGTATCCTGTACTGTTATATACCTGTTGTATCCTGTACTGTTATATACCTGTTGTATCCTGTACTGTTATATACCTGTTGTATCCTGTACTGTTATATACCTGTTGTATCCTGTACTGTTATATACCTGTTGTATCCTGTACTGTTATATACCTGTTGTATCCTGTACTGTTATATACCTGTTGTATCCTGTACTGTTATATACCTGTTGTATACCTGTGCTGTTTATACCTGTTGTATCCTGTCTGTTATATACCTGTTGTATCCTGTGCTGTTATATACCTGTTGTATCCTGTACTGTTATATACCTGTTGTATCCTGTACTGTTATATACCTGTTGTATCCTGTACTGTTATATACCTGTTGTATCCTGTGCTGTTATATACCTGTTGTATCCTGTACTGTTATATACCTGTTGTATCCTGTACTGTTATATACCTGTTGTATCCTGTACTGTTATATACCTGTTGTATCCTGTACTGTTATATACCTGTTGTATCCTGTACTGTTATAACCTGTTATCCTGTATGTTATATACCTGTTGTATCCTGTACTGTTATATACCTGTTGTATCCTGTACTGTTATATACCTGTTGTATCCTGTACTGTTATATACCTGTTGTATCCTGTACTGTTATATACCTGTTGTATCCTGTACTGTTATATACCTGTTGTATCCTGTACTGTTATATACCTGTTGTATCCTGTTCGTTTATATACCTGTTGTATCCTGTACTGTTATATACCTGTTGTATCCTGTACTGTTATATACCTGTTGTATCCTGTACTGTTATATACCTGTTGTATCCTGTACTGTTAAACACCTGTTATATCCTGTACTGTTATATACCTGTTGTATCCTGTACTGTTATATACCTGTTGTATCCTGTACTGTTATATACCTGTTGTATCCTGTACTGTTATATACCTGTTGTATCCTGTACTGTTATATACCTGTTGTATCCTGTACTGTTATATACCTGTTGTATCCTGTACTGTTATATACCTGTTGTATCCTGTGCTGTTATATACCTGTTGTATCCTGTACTGTTATATACCTGTTGTATCCTGTGCTGTTATATACCTGTTGTATCCTGTGCTGTTATATACCTGTTGTATCATGTGCTGTTATATACCTGTTGTATCCTGTGCTGTTATATACCTGTTGTATAATGTGCTGTTATATACCTGTTGTATCCTGTACTGTTATATACCTGTTGTATCCTGTACTGTTATATACCTGTTGTATCCTGTACTGTTATATACCTGTTGTATCCTGTACTGTTATATACCTGTTGTATCCTGTACTGTTATATACCTGTTGTATCCTGTACTGTTATATACCTGTTGTATCCTGTACTGTTATATACCTGTTGTATCCTGTACTGTTATATACCTGTTGTATCCTGTACTGTTATATACCTGTTGTATCCTGTACTGTTATATACCTGTTGTATCCTGTACTGTTATATACCTGTTGTATCCTGTACTGTTATATACCTGTTGTATCCTGTACTGTTATATACCTGTTGTATCCTGTACTGTTATATACCTGTTGTATCCTGTACTGTTATATACCTGTTGTATCCTGTACGTGTATTATACCTGTTGTATCCTGTACTGTTATATACCTGTTGTATCCTGTACTGTTATATACCTGTTTATCCTGTACTGTTAAAACCTGTTGTATCCTGTACTGTTATATACCTGTTGTATCCTGTACTGTTATATACCTGTTGTATCCTGTACTGTTATATACCTGTTGTATCCTGTACTGTTATATACCTGTTGTATCCTGTACTGTTATATACCTGTTGTATCCTGTGCATGTGGCGAATAAACCTGAAAACTTGAAACATACAGCCTGGATACCTACTACTTTTTGTGTTGTCATGCCGACTCCTATGGTCAAGGTAACGCTGTTTGAAAATGACCATAGGAGTTGGCATGACAACACAAACAGATCTGGGACCAGGGCTATGAAACTCACAGGCCTGCTTGGCCACCCTGTCCAAAACATGGTCATCAGACACGTCTAGCAGCAGAGCTAGGTCCAGGACAGGAGACGGAGGAGGGGGATCCTTAGGAGCGTTGCTATCCACAGACAGGATGGACCGCTTGTTCCTCCTCTTCCTCTCCTTCCCGGGGTCCGAGCCCCCCAGGGCCTTCTCCAGCAGCTTGGCCTGGGTCAGATCAACCGGGAAGCCGTCCAGAATCCAGCCCGAGTCTGCTGGGATCGCCCTGGTGTAAAGAGTAAAGAGATTACAGTCAATACACGTTCAACACAAAAGGGCTATTCGTTTCATTTAGCACTCGATTCAATTTACTGCTTCTAAAGAACAGAATAGGATTTTGTTTGTGTTTAAACCTGATAGCTTCGACTACAATGTCCACAAGCAGCTCGTCTGGGACGGATCTCCCTTTTCTGAGAAAGTTTTCCACTCCTGCTCCATGCTGGGCCCTCACAGAGAGCTGGGAAGGATGTTCTTTGTTATTCCAAATATAAGTATTCTAAGTAATATATATATACAGTATTAAGTACACAGTGCCTTGCAAAAGTATTCATCCCCCTTGGCGTTTTTCCTATTTAGTTGCATTACAACCTGTAATTTACATTTATTTTTATTTGGATTTCATGTAATGGACATACACAAAATAGTCCAAATTGGTGAAGTGAAAAATGAAAAAAATTACTTGTTTCATAGAATTCTAAAAAATAAATAACGGAAAAGTGGTGCGTGCATATATATTCACCCCCTTTGCTATGAAGCCCCTAAATAAGATCTGGTGCAACCAATTACCTTCAGAAGTCACATAATTAGTTAAATAAAGTCATGATCTGTCACATGATCTCAGTATATATACACCTGTTCTGAAAGGCCCCAGAGTCTGCAACAACACTAAGCAAGGGGCACCACCAAGCAAGCGGCATCATGAAGACCAAGGAGCTCTCCAAACAGGTCAGGGAAAAAGTTGTGGAGAAGTACAGATCAGGGTTGGGTTATACAAAAATATCAAAAACTTTGAACATCCCACGTAGCACCATTAAATCCATTATAAAAAAATTAACGAATATGGCACCACAACAAACCTGCCAAGAGAGGGCCGCCCACCAAAACTCACGGACCAGGCATGGAGGACATTAATCAGAGAGGCAACAAAGACACCAAAGATAACCCTGAAGGAGCTGCAAAGCTCCACAGCGGAGATTGGAGTATCTGTCCATAGGACCACTTTAAGCCATACACTCCAGAGCTGGGCTATACGGAAGAGTGGCCAGAAAAAAGCCATTGCTTAAAGAAAAAAACAAGCAAACACGTTTGGTGTTCGCCAAAAGGCATGTGGGAGACTCCCCAAACATATGGAAGAAGGTACTCTGGTCAGATGAGACTAAAATTGAGCTTTTTGGCCATCAAGGAAAACGCTATGTCTGTCGCAAACCCAACACCTCTCATCACCCCGAGAACACGTTTTCATAGCAGGAAACCTGGGGAACTGGTCAGAGTGAAGGAATGATGGATGGCGCTTAAATACAGGGAAATTCTGTGAGGGAACCTATTTCAGTCTTCCAGAGATTTGAGACTGGGACGGGGAGGTTCAACTTCCAGCAGGACAAGACCCTAAGCGTACTGCTACAGCAACACTCAAGTGGGTTTAAGGGGAAACATTTAAATGTCCTTGAAGTGTCACGATCGTTGGAAGGAAATGGAACCAATGCCGCAGCCGTGATGACGTGGAACATACTTTTATTTGATTCACCACACCGAAACAAAACAACAAAACGATACGTGAAGTCCTAGGTAACAGACCCAAAACCAATCACGGAACAAGATCCCACAAAACACTGTGGAAAACAGGCTGCCTAAGTATGGGGTTCCCCAATCAGAGACAACAAGCAATCAGCTGACACTCGTTGCCTCTGATTGAGAACCACCCCGGCCAACACAGAAACACATGAGCTAGATAAAGAACCTAGAACACAAATACATAGAAACTACACACCTTGGCTCAACATAACAGAGTCCCAGAGCCAGGGCGTGACAGGAATGGCCTAGTCAAAGCCCAGACCTCAATCCTATTGAGAATCTGTGGTATGACTTAAAGATTGCTGTACACCAGCGGAACCCATCCAACTTGATGGAGCTGGAGCAGTTTTGCCTTGAAGAATGGGCAAAAATCCCAGTGGCTAGATGTGCCAAGCTTATAGAGACATACCCCAAGAGACTTGCAGCTGTAATTGCTGCAAAAGTTGGCTCTACAAAGTATTGACTTTGGGGGGGTGAATAGTTATGCACGCTCAAGTTCTGTTTTTTTGTCTTATTTCTTGGTTGTTTCACAATAAAAACTATTTTGCATCTTCAAAGTGGTAGGCATGTTGTGTAAATCAAATGATACAAACCCCCCAAAAATCCATTTTAATTCCAGGTTGTAAGGCAACAAAATAGGAAAAATGCCAAGGGGGGTGAATACTTTCGCAAGCCACTGTAAATATAAACTGGGTGGTTCGAGCCCTGAATGCTGATTGGCTGAAAGCTGTGGTATATCAGACCGTATACCACGGGTATGACAAAACATTTATTTTTTACTGCTCTAATTACGTTGCATCGTGCCTAAGAACAGCCCTTAGCCATGGTATATTGGCCATATGCCACACCTCCTCGGGCCTTACTGCTTAAATAGAATCCCTATGCATGTGTTTCTCTGTGTCAGTATGCAGGTATAAGAGACACATGGTCATGTCAACATACCGCTGTCCTTGCCTTGGGTTTTTTCTTGGCTCCTTGCTGCTGAGGCTCTACTAAACAATAAAGCCCAAATCAGACATTTACGTCATTTAGCAGACGCTCTTATCCAGAGCAATTAGGGTTAAGTGCCTTGCTCAAGGGCACATCGACAGATTTTTCACCTAGTCGGCTCGGGGATTAGAACCAGCGACCTTTCGGTTACTGGCACAACGCTCTTACCCACTAAGCTACCTGCCGCCCCCAGACAAAACCCTTGTTTACAGACGGGCAATTCAGGATGAAGTAAGAAAACAACTGGAATTCACAAAGTCACATTTCTCATTGGCTTAAAACATGTGCTGCTGATTCTCCTAATATTGCGCTCTGGTGTGATGTTTCCCCTAGGTACAGACCTAGAATCAGCTTCCCCTCCCCCCAATCCTAACCTTAACCATTAGTGGGGGAAATGAAAAACTGACCCAAGATCAGCATCTAGGGGAAGCTTCACCTGAATCCTGTGACGACTCCTCCTCCATCTCAGTATCCGTCTCCATCTGGTCGATGTCTTTAGTGGACAATGTTTCACCGCTCTCTGTGCTCTTGTACAGTAGAAAAAGGGTCGTGTTTTTATTTAAATATACATAAAAAAACTGAATATACAACTGCATACAGCTGTCATTCATTCATTCTTATGACAGTTTTATGTATGCGTTATTCCAATTCACTTCAGTGTGGCCACAAAACCTTTGAGACACGTTTGAGAGAAAAAAATAAAAAAAGGTTTTCTAACCTCACATCCAAGCTCTCCAAGCTGATGTGCAGCCAGCGCCTCCTGGATCAGAACATTAGCTGACAGGACGTGGATGTGATGGACTGGGTTAGAAAACGAGAGAAAAGATGGTGGTTTGCAGAGATCCTATTTTCATATACAGTGAGGGAAAAAAAGTATTTGATCCCCTGCTGATTTTGTACGTTTGCCCACTGACAAAGAAATTATCAGTCTATAATTTTAATGGTAGGTTTAATGGTAGAAAAACGCATGTCAAAAATGTTATAAATTGATTTGCATTTTAATGAGGGAAATAAGTATTTGACCCCCTTTCAATCAGAAAGATTTCTGGCTCCCAGGTGTCTTTTATACAGGTAACGAGTTGAGATTAGGAGCACACTCTTAAAGGGAGTGCTCCTAATCTCAGCTTGTTACCTGTATAAAAGACACCTGTCCACAGAAGCAATCAATCAATCAGATGCCAAACTCTCCACCATGGCCAAGACCAAAGAGCTCTCCAAGGATGTCAGGGACAAGATTGTAGACCTACACAAGGCTGGAATGGGCTACAAAATCATCGCCAAGCAGCTTGGTGAGAAGGTGACAACAGTTGGTGCGATTATTCGCAAATGGAAGAAACACAAAATAACTGTCAATCTCCCTCGGCCTGGGGCTCCACGCAAGATCTCACCTCGTGGAGTTGCAATGATCATGAGAACGGTGAGGAATCAGCCCAAAACTACACGGGAGGATCTTGTCAATGATCTCAAGGCAGCTGGGACCATAGTCACCAAGAAAACAATTGGTAACACACTACGCCGTGAAGGACTGAAATCCTGCAGGGCCCGCAAGGTCCCCCTGCTCAAGAAAGCACATATACAGGCCCGTCTGAAGTTTGCCAATGAACATCTGAATGATTCAGAGGAGAACTGGGTGGAAGTGTTGTGGTCGGATGAGACCAAAATTGAGCTCTTTGGCATCAACTCAACTCACCGTGTTTGGAGGAGGAGGAATGCTGCCTATGACCCCAAGAACACCATCCCCACCGTCAAACATGGAGGTGGAAACATTATGCTTTGGGGCTGTTTTTCTGCTAAGGGATGGGACACCTTCACCGCATCAAAGGGACGATGGACGGGGCCATGTACCGTCAAATCTTGGGTGAGAACCTCCTTCCCTCAGCCAGGGCATTGAAAATGGGTCGTGGATGGGTATTCCAGCATGACAACGACCCAAAACACACGGCCAAGGCAACAAAGGAGTGGCTCAAGAAGAAGCACATTAAGGTCCTGGAGTGGCCTAGCCAGTCTCCAGACCTTAATCCCATAGAAAATCTGTGGAGGGAGCTGAAGGTTTGAGTTGCCAAACGTCAGCCTCAAAACCTTAATGACTTGGAGAAGATCTGCAAAGAGGAGTGGAACAAAATCCCTCCTGAGATGTGTGCAAACCTGGTGGCCAACTACAAAAAACGTCTGACCTCTGTGATTGCCAACAAGGGTTTTGCCACCAAGTACTAAGTCATGTTTTGCAGAGGGGTCAAATACTTATTTCCCTCATTAAAATGCAAATCAATTGATAACATTTTTTATATGCTTTTTTCTGGATATTTTTGTTGTTATTCTGTCTCTCACTGTTCAAATAAACCTACCATTAAAATTATAGACTGATCATGTCTTTGTCAGTGGGCAAACGTACAAAATCAGCAGGGGATCAAATACTTTTTTCCCTCACTGTATATATTATTCATATATCCTGTATATACAGTGGGGGAAAAAAGTATTTAGTCAGCCACCAATTGTGCAAGTTCTCCCACTTAAAAATATGAGAGAGGCCTGTAATTTTCATCATAGGTACACGTCAACTATGACAGACAAAATGAGAAAAAAAAATCCAGAAAATCACATTGTAGGATTTTTTATGAATTTATTTGCAAATTATGGTGGAAAATAAGTATTTGGTCAATAACAAAAGTTTCTCAATACTTTGTTATATACCCTTTGTTTGCAATGACATAGGTCAAACGTTTTCTGTAAGTCTTCACAAGGTTTTCACACACTGTTGCTGGTATTTTGGCCCATTCCTCCATGCAGATCTCCTCTAGAGCAGTGATGTTTTGGGGCTGTCGCTGGGCAACACAGACTTTCAACTCCCTCCAAAGATTTTCTATGGGGTTGAGATCTGGAGACTGGCTTGGCCACTCCAGGACCTTGAAATGCTTCTTACGAAGCCACTCCTTCGTTGCCCGGGCGGTGTGTTTGGGATCATTGTCATGCTGAAAGACCCAGCCACGTTTCATCTTCAATGCCCTTGCGGATGGAAGGAGGTTTTCACTCAAAATCTCACGATACATGGCCCCATTCATTCTTTCCTTTACACGGATCAGTCATCCTGGTCCCTTTGCAGAAAAACAGCCCCAAAGCATGATGTTTCCACCCCGATGCTTCACAGTAGGTATGGTGTTCTTTGGATGCAACTCAGCATTCTTTGTCCTCCAAACACGACGAGTTGAGTTTTTACCAAAAAGTTATATTTTGGTTTCATCTGACCATATGACATTCTCCCAATCCTCTTCTGGATCATCCAAATGCACTCTAGCAAACTTCAGACGGGCCTGGACATGTACTGGCTTAAGCAGGGGGACACGTCTGGCACTGCAGGATTTGAGTCCCTGGCGGCGTAGTGTGTTACTGATGGTAGGCTTTGTTACTTTGGTCCCAGCTCTCTGCAGGTCATTCACTAGGTCCCCCCGTGTGGTTCTGGGATTTTTGCTCACCGTTCTTGTGATCGGGGTGAGATCTTGCGTGGAGCCCCAGATCGAGGGAGATTATCAGTGGTCTTGTATGTCTTCCATTTCCTAATAATTGCTCCCACAGTTGATTTCTTCAAACCAAGCTGCTTACCTATTGCAGATTCAGTCTTCCCAGCCTGGTGCAGGTCTACAATTTTGTTTCTGGTGTCCTTTGACAGCTCTTTGGTCTTGGCCATAGTGGAGTTTGGAGTGTGACTGTTTGAGGTTGTGGACAGGTGTCTTTTATACTGATAACAAGTTCAAACAGGTGCCATTAATACAGGTAACGAGTGGAGGACAGAGGAGCCTCTTAAAGAAGAAGTTACAGGTCTGTGAGAGCCAGAAATCTTGCTTGTTTGTAGGTGACCAAATACTTATTTTCCACCATAATTTGCAAATAAATTCATTAAAAATCCTACAATGTGATTTTCTGGATTTTTCTTTCTCAATTTGTCTGTCATAGTTGACGTGTACCTATGATGGAAATTACAGGCCTCTCTCATATTTTTAAGTGGGAGAACCTGCACAATTGGTGGCTGACTAAATACTTTTTTCCCCCACTGTATACACAGAGCGTACAAAACATTAAGAATAAATTCCTAATATAGTTGCATCCCCCCCTTTTGCCCTCAGAACAGCCTCAGTTTGTCGGGGCATGGACTCTACAAGGTGTCTAAAGCATTCCACAGGGATGCTGGCCATCTGGCCCATGTTGACACCAATGCTTCCTACAGTTTTGTCAAGTTGGCTGGATGTCCTTAGGGTGGTGGACCATTCTTGATACACACAGGAAACTGTTGAGTATGAAAAACCCAGCAGCGTTGCAGTTCTTCACACAAACCGGTATGCCTGGCACCTACAACCACACCCCGTTCAAAGGCACTTAAATATTTTGTCTTGCCCACTCACCCTCTGAATGGCACACATACACAATCCATGTCTCAATTGTCTCAAGGCTTAAAAATCCTTCTTTAACCTGTCTCCTCCCCTTCATCTACACTGATTGAAGTGGATTTAACAAGTGACATCAATAAGGGATCATAGCTTTCACCTGGACAGTCTATGTCATAGAAAGAGCAGGTGTTCTTAATGTTTTGTACACTCAGTGTATACACACGGTAACTGCCAAAATAAAGGAAACACCAACATAAAGTGTTTTAATAGGGCGTTGGGCCATCACAAGAGAGAACAGCGTCAATGCACCTTGGCATAGATTCTACAAGTGTCTGGAACTCTATTTTGTTGGTGGTGGAAAACGCTGTCTCAGGCGCCGCTCCAGAATCTCCAATAAATGTTCAAATGAGTTGAGATCTGGTGACATATGGTTTACATCATTTTCATGCTCATCAAACAATTCTGTGACCACTCGTGCCCTGTGGATGGGGGCATTGTCATCCTATGGGGTCATAGCCATGGTAGCCAAAATAATGACCTGCACAGCATTTTTAAACAAGCATTTTAGCATTGCATAATTAACTCAGAAACCACACCTGTGTGGAAGCACCTGCTTTCAATATTCTTTGTATCCCTCATTTACTCAAGTGTTTCCTTTATTTTGGCAGTTACCTGTATGTTACTCTATGGTTGTTTTAGCCAAAGAACAAAGAAGACTCTCACGAGGCAAGACAACACGACAACACCTAATCTGTTGCCAGAAATGAAGTAGTATGGTAATGCATGATACTGCGTGATACTGCATGATACTGTGTGATACTGCGTGATAATGCATGATACTGTGTGATACTCCATGATATGGTTGGAGGGATACCTTGGGCAATCCTGGTTAAGCATGTGCTCTTCCCGGAGAAAAGCTTTCCCAGCACACAGGCTTTCAGTGTGAACCGAGGAAAGAAGGGAGGAAGGGTGTCTGGTTTGGGGGGGTTCACAATAGTCTGCAGGCGGAGCACCACATGTCCCAGGATATTGTTGTTGGACGGGGGGGGCTTTGCCTCCCCCTCCTCTGGCCAGGTCCACTCACCAGTCATGCTCTGACACACAGAATCAACACATAGAACACACCTAAAGACACTGGGATTATTGTCAACAATAACGCTGAACCTGCTAGCCTGGGTACCAGGCATACAAGGAATTAACACGATAGCACAAACAGATCTGGGACCAGGCTATAAACCTGCACCATTGTGAAATTCAACATATCAGTCGAGTCATATTCTTTACTTGCGACACCATTTCAAGACAATTTGAGAACCTCTGAATTCCAGTTACACACTGAAAAGCATTTCTTGGACAATTCTGAATAGAATTTCTTGGGCATGACCTCACACTAATGGACTCACCATATACTCATCATAGTCCTGGTTGTTAAGGATCTCCTGTTTCTCAACCTCAATGAACTGCTCTGGGGTGGGGTCGGCAGGTAGCTCCTCCAGACTGCCACTGTCATACAGGGGCTTCCCGCAAAACAAGAGCTCCTTCCATTCCCGCATCAACTTCCCAGGGATAAGACTGCAGGACAGAGTAGCAAAGAACACTCAGTGCTGTGCTGCATCTAAATGGATGCCCTCAGAATACTGTGCCGGTCCTGCTGGATTATCACTTGACCGAATTAATGCTTACGGTCCAAAAATGAAAAGGTTGCTCTCCCACCCTTGTCTACTTGTCTTCTGCTTTGCCTTTACATATAATTTCTAATTCTCCTCCCTCCAAGTACATTGTTAATTGTTCGAACCAAAACAAGTGAACAAGATGCACTAAAACTTTCACGAGAAGAATGAGACAGAATTTGAGGTTGTTTTCTTTATTTGATTTCATTGGTCAAGTCATTTGACAAGCAAGAAATACATGATTCCATCGTGTCGTGCCTTGAGCTAACCTAACGATTTTGCACAAGCAAAGCTATAACGGTATGAGTATGAGTAAACACAACTGCCCACTGGGCACAGACGTTTAATTCAACGTCTATTCCACATTGGGTTCAACATAATTTCATTGAAATGACGTGGAAACAACGTTGATTCAACCAGTGTGTGCCTACTGGGTGGTGAAATACTCACATTCTGACACATTGTTCATTTCTACCGGGGATAACACTCTTAGATTGGCTTAGCTCCTCAAAATCTACAGTGCCTTTGGAAAGTATTCAGACCCCTTGACTTTTTCCACATTTTGTTACGTTACAGCCTTATTCTAAAATTGATTAAATAAAACAATTTCCTCAGCAATACACACAATACCCCATAATGATTAAGCGAAAACAGGTTTTTAGAATATTTTGCAAATTTATTAAAAACAAAAAACAGAAATACCTTATTTACATAAGTATTCAGACCCTTTGCTATGAGACTCGAAATTGAGCTCAGGTGCATTCTGTTTCCATTGATCATCCTTGAGATGTTTCTACAACTTGATTGGAGTCCACCTGTGGTCAATTCAATTGATTGGACATGATTTGGAAAGGCACACACCTGTCTATATAAGGTCCCACAGTTGACAGTGCATGTCAGAGAAAAAACCAAGCCATGAGGTCGAAGGAATTGTCTGTAGAGCCCCGAGACAGGATTGTGTCGAGGCACAGATCTGGGGAAGGATACCAAAACATTTCTGCAGCATTGAAGGTCCCCAAGAACACAGTGGCCTCCATCATTTCTAAATGGAAGAAGATTGGAACCACCAAGACTCTTCCTAGAGCTGGCCGCCCGGCCAAACTGAGCAATCGGGGGAGAAGGGCCTTGGTCAGGGAGGTGACCCGATGGTCACTCTGACAGAGCTCTAGAGTTCCTCTGTGGAGATGGGAGAACCCTCCAGAAGGACAAACATCTCTGCAGCACTCCACCAATTAGGCCTTTATGGTAGAGTGGCCAGATGGAAGCCACTCCTCAGTAAAAGGCACATGACAGCCCGCTTGGAGTTTGCCAAAAGGCACATAAAGACTCTCAGACCATGAGAAACAAGATGATCTGGTCTGATGAAACCAAGAATGAACTCTTTGGCCTGAATGCTAAGCGTCACATCTGGAGGAAACCTGGCACCATCCCTACAGTGAAGCATGGTGGTGGCAGCATCATGCTGTGGGGATGTTTTTCAGCGGCAGGGACTGGGAGACTAGTCAGGATCGAGGGAAAGATGAACGGAGCAAAGTACAGAGAGATCCTTGATGAAAACCTGCTCCAGATCACTCAGGACTATGACCCTAAGCACACAGCCAAGACAACGCAGGAGTGGCTTCGGGACAAGTCTCTGAATGTCCTTGAGTGGCCCAGCCAGAGCCCAGACTTGAACCCGATCGAACATCTCTGGAGAGACCTAAAAATAGCTGTGCAGCAACGCTCCCCATCTAACCTGACAGCTTGAGAGGATCTGCAGAGAAGAATGGGAGAAACTCCCCAAATACAGGTGTGCCAAGCTTGTAGCGTCATACTCAAGAAGACTCAAGGCTGTAATCGCTGCCAAAGGTGCTTCAACAAAGTACTGAGTAAAGGGTCTGAATACTTATGTAAATGTTATATTTCAGTTGTATATTTTTAATACATTTGCAAAAAAATTTATACAAACCAGTTTTTGCTTTGTCATTATGGGGTATTGTGTGTAGACTGATGAGGGAAAAAAAAACAATTTAATCCATTTTAGAATAAGGCTGTAACCTAACAAAATGTGGAAAAAGTCAAGGGGTCTGAATACTTTCCATAGGCACTGTATAGCTGGCTTCTGATATTGTGGGTGCTTTTAGTATTATTAAATGGATATAGCAGCCTTTTCACTTACATTACTTTAATAATTGTATAATTCAACAAATCACAAACACCCTTGTCTTTCAGATTTTATCAAACATTTGTGCAGAACATCATGTATACTCTACTTAAAGATCGACTGAATAAAATCAAAACGTATCTGGTTGAAAATGGCCTATGTGGCATCGATGTGAGTCACAAACATTTATTCTAGTGACAAAATTGACTACAAAGTGTAAATAGGATAATTTTCGTCATTAAGTCAGCCTCGTCCAAAACAGAGATCTGTGAGATTATTAGGAAAAAAGGGTATGTCACGTAATATAGGGTACGTAACAGTTTTCCTCTGATTGGGTTTATTTCAATCCTGCCCACAGCTGGCAGCACCCAAGCCATCATCAATTCGGAGCACAGTTGCACGTGACCCGATTGTAATGCCCAGCACACTGACCATAGTCAATTTGGTTTGACTTTGGATATCCCTATGGGGCTAGTTAGGGACATCAGTAAATTACATAATGTACATGGGACAATATTAAAACATTTCAATAGCTCCAAATTTCAATGACATAAAAACCTCAAACAAACTTTCAATTGTAGAAATTAATATACAAATATTAAAAGCATTTACTGAGAAAGCTAAAAGGTGTCCAACATGAAAATATTGTCCCATTTACATTGTGTAATATATTGACGGTTCCTAACTAGGCCCACAGATAGGCTATCCAAAGTCAAACCAACTTTGCCACAACTATGGCACTTGGCTAGCACTCGCTAGCCTAGGCTACTTCCAGACACAAGACCTGGTTAGACTTTCAAGTTATCTAGACGGGTGAGTGACTAGCTGTGTACTGTTTTGGCAGAGTGAATGTACAAATGCTTCCCATATGCAAACACACACACAATAGACAGTCACATCAAAGCACATCTCCAAGACCCAAATCTCGTTCTCAGTTGCATTTCCTAATGAGGACGATTGAAACCCGAGGCTAAATCAGTGATTTCTGCCCCCCTTAACATGACTGTGACAATTATGTCTTAATAGACCATCTTTGTGGGCATTGATTTGCAGAAAAGGCAACAGAAAAAAACTGAGGGTGTGTCCCAATAACCTTTCTCCTGAAGTGAGCAGTCGTTCACTACTTCCCACAAATCTAAAAGCGTTGGATTGGTGGACGCATGGGCCAGTGGGAGTTTCCACCATATTTCTTATACTAGTGATTTCCGCTCAAATCAGTAAACGGACGTGAGCAAGCGCACACTTTGGGAGAAAGGCAAGATAATTGGTACATAACTAGACAGAGCACACTCTCAAATGGTGGCACGTACTTTCCAGTGAGGAGGCGGTACTCCCCAGCTTTCGTGGCCAGGTCCACTATCTGCTCCAGCATTTCTCTGCAGCTGTCAAAGTGCTTCCTGTAGCGAGCCTGGGCGCGCTCTGCCGCTATCCTGTTATGTACTTCCATCTCCTTCCGAGTCTCCTCGGCGTGATCCAAACTGGCCTGGCGTGCTAGAGCCTGTTACATCAGTGGCAGGTCAAAGGTCAAACCTCACATTAGCTTTTAGTTTAATAGTTAGTGCTTTTCCGGGATCCTTGGGACGTCCCTAACCCTAACCTTAACCCCTACTCTTACCGGATAGCAAGGACCTTAGTTCAATTGCCCCTTGTGACCAGAATCCAGCCACTCCAAAAACATGTCGTTAGTAAAACTACGAAATAAAAATGAAGTAATATTCTCCTGAAAGCACCCAAAACTATCCTTGACTTTACCCTGTTTTTCTTTTGAAGCATGGCAATCCTTTTGTTTGATAATAATACTATCATTCCAATTTTGAACAACTAAGTAGATAAACTAGATGAGGCATTACTTACCATGCATGATGATACACTTATTCTAGGTATATATGTACAATGTGCAGGTACAATACATCCTCTACTTGACGAGGTCAGGGTCTCACTGAAGGGGAAATCCTCCACACTACTTCTTCTGGCATGTTGGCTGCTGATGATTGACTAAAGGAGGGCACTGCTCAAGCAGACTATCTATGGTCTATGGTCATCTATGGTCTATTTGTCTATCTATGGTCTATGGTCCATCTATGGTCTATGGTCTATCTATGGTCTATGGTCCATCTATGGTCTATGGTCCATCTATGGTCTATGGTCCATCTATGGTCTATGGTCCATCTATGGTCTATGGTCTATCTATGGTCTATGGTCCATCTATGGTCTATCTATGGTCTATGGTCATCTATGTCCTATCTATGTCCATCTATGGCTATTCCATATATGTCTATGGTCATCTATGGCCTATGGTCTATGGTCCTCAAGTATATGGTCCATATGGCCATCATGGTTAGGTTCATCTTGGCTTTTGGTCTCTATGGCCTATGGTCACTATATGGCTATGGTCAAACTATGCCTATGGCTATGGTCCTCTAAGGTTATGGTCCATATAGGTCTATCTATTGTCAGGTCCATCTATGGTCCTATGGTCCATCTATGGTCTATGGTCCATCTATGGTCTATGGTCCATCTATGATCTATGTTCTATCTATGGTCTATGGCACGGTTTCCCAAACTCGGTCCTCAGGACCCCAAGGGGTGCACGTTTTGGTTTTTGCCCTAGTACTACACAGCTGATTCAAATAATCAACTAATCATGTGTAATGTTAGGGCAAAAAACAAAACTTGCACCCCTTGGGGTCCCGAGGACCGAGTTTGGGAAACGTTGGTCTATAGTCCATCTATGGACCATCCGATGGGCTAAATGGATCTCACCGCCTCCCTCTCCAAGGCCTCTTGGAAATCCCTCAGCCGTTGCTCTTGGTACTGTCTCTCGCGGAACACACGGTTCTGTCGGAGAACGTCCTTCTGCTGGCGGAGCTGCATGAGCTGGACGGCCAGTCGTCTCTCCAGCTGGGACTGACGGGTCAGACGCTCCACCAGCTGCTCCTCTCGAAGGGCCTCCTGCACCACAAAAGGACACCATTTGTGTAGGGTGAAGTTGGCTCTAGACGCCGATCTTGGAAATGACGTGTGTAGGTTTTACACCTGTTCACAAATGACTATGTGACTGGTTACTAGTGCTGAACATGGGTCATCCTCAATATCATCATCATCATCATCAAGTAGTATGAAAGGTCATACACTGTCTGTGTAGCTGCTCACCTCTTGGGCCTCGTGGGCTTTCAGTTGTTCCACTAGGACGCGGCGGCGGCGTTTCTCCCTCTGCTGGCGAGCTGCTGCATCCTCCTCCAGCCTCTGGCGGATTTTCTGGATGTACTCGCTGTTAACCCGGGCCAGCTCCTCAGGCCTCTGCAACTGGGAGCCATGACTTCTGGGGGCCTCAGTGTGAAAAGAGGACATCTGCTGGGCACTGTGGGGAGGGTGGATGATAGTTCAGGGCCCGCATGTATCAAGCTTCTTAGAGTAGGAGTGCTGATTAAGGATCAGCTTTGCCTTTTAGATCATAATTAATACAAGCACATGGAAAGGGGGAACCTGATCCTAAATCAGCACCCCTACTCTGAAACACTTGATACATACGACTTTTCAGTTGAACTATTGTTAGCCAACTCATTTTTGGGGGGGAAATATTTGGGAAGATTTGCGGTTGGGATTTTTTCCAATACTTACCTCAAAGAGGAGGTGCCAAAGCCGCCAGCAGGTGACAACTTCTTCCTGTTCTTCTCAAACTGGGCGATTTCCATGTGAACCTTCTGTAAGGAAATGTCAACGGAGAGATTGGTCATGTCAACAAGGGCCTGTGAAGTTCTATGGAAATGATCCACAGTATGATGTGAAACCAACGCATAGTGGAAGTATAATGGTGTAGGGTGAAGTTACCCCTAGACGCTGATCTAGGGTCAGTTTTGCATTTCCCCCACTAATGGTTAATGTTAGGATTAGTGGAGAGGAAGCTGATCCTAGATATGTAGCTAGGGGAAACTTCACCCTGGAGTGTATAATACGTTATATTATCTGTCCCGTCGACTGTCATGTCTCCTCTCATTGCCTGACAATCCAAACCCTTTTTACATAGCCTGATACTTTACAATATAGACATTCTTCTTCACCTGAGCCTCCTGTATCTTCCGGTTCTGTTGTTGTTTCTCCAGGGCCTTCAATGTCTGGTTGGGCGGAGGTTTGGGAATTTGGATGATGGCGGTCTGAATCCGAGTCATTATCTCATGCTGCTTTCTGCGTGCATGTCGGTGCTGCAATGACAATATTATGTCAACGTAGCCAATATGCACACTAGCTAGGCATCCAGATTGAGTAGCTAAACATCTCACATCATTCATTCACTTCACTATATGTATATGACCAGAGCAGTTCAGTATGCAGTAAGCACTGATTAACATTGGAGAGGAGCAGCTTTTCCTTCAGTCTTTTCATCATCCACAACAACCCCACAATGCGACAATTGAAGTCTGTGATTGGCTAGCCCCAAAAGGTCGGTGCTAACCCTGCTCCGGAGCAGGGCCAGTTAGCCCTGGCCTTTAGTTTTGTGCTATCCCACTATGCAAGTGTGAATATTAGCTTAGCTCCGGGCTACAATCTCTCTTAGCCCAGGGCTAAGGAGTCTGTTAGGGTTAGTAGCAATGATGTATATAAACCCTGGATTGCTGATGCTATGTATTGGCCATTGAGAGGCTTTGAAGCCACCGGTCGGCCATATTGTCACTCCCCAGTAGGAGCAGTCCTCCATAGGAATGAATGGAATTCTACAGTATTTCAATTAAATGTTTCAAGTACAAAATAACATGTATTATTATATTATTATATTTAAGCATTTTGTTGTTAGTGGGGACAGTAACATTAGCAGTCTCTAAAAAAAAAATACTTTCAGGATTTTTATGTTTAGCTCACATAATATAATGTAAAAGTAGGCATTAAGGTGTCTGTAATAAAATAGACGTGTCAAAAACATATGTAGACATTAACAAATGCATTTCTATAGCTTCCCAAATCTTTTTTACAATGGAGGAAGAGTACCAAGATGACTGCGCTTCAATACAGCGCCCCGTCAGTCATCCAGGGTTAATACACATCACTGGTTAGCAGGCTGTTAGCCCAGGACTAAGGAGGCTGTTAGGGTTAGGAGGCTGTTAGCGCAGGGCTAATGAGGCTGTTAGGATTAGGGTTAGGAGGCTGTTAGCCCAAGGCTAAGTGTAGTGTGAACATGGATTCTTTCTGATACCTTTTCAATGTCCTGGAGTCTCATCACTTCCTGCACTTTCTGCTGTTTCTGCTCCTTCACAGAGTGGGCCATGACAGACTTGTCATATATCTCTCGACCTTTGATTTCATACTTCAGAGCGATTTTTTGGAGTTTCAGATCAGCCTCTCTCTTGACGACTGTCCTCAGGCGCTGGGATAACAAAGACAGATACAAAAAAAGTATTACAAAAACATGTATTTTTATTGGTCAAAGGAGATATTGTGGAAAATATAGACTGAGAGTGTGTCACAAAGGCAGTGGGTCAGATTCAAAGCCACATCGACACTGGCAAACATGTGTGATGTAGGCAAACCCGGTCACAGGCTTGGAGAACACTGGATGCCCCTTTGGTCTTCACAGAGTTGGGTAAAGCTGCTCTTAGTTTTTTTTGCGCCCTTTATGTGGAACAACTTACAGAGCTCTCTGAAAATGTGATGTTCTGGCCCCCCTTGGTCAGTTCAGAGTAATGATCAGAGACCTCTATGTTGATAAACGTGCCTGTTTTTCTTAATGTTTTGTAAGTTTGTATGTTGTATATATGTTCGATGTATTGATGCAGGGCTCATCTGAAAAAGAGACCCTAGTCTCAGTATAACTCAGTATAACCCTGTCAAAACAAAGGTTTAATAAAATAAATTACAACGCTAGATCACTCAGGCTACATGAAAAGCAATTTCAGTGTCCAACTAGCTGTCTAGGGAGCGACAACAAATGAATGAAGCAGCCATGATGGGGTGAGGGAGCCTTATTCCACTTACCTCAGAGTAAATGTCATTCTCCACACGGTGGAGGCAAGCTGTGGCAGCTGGCTGCATAGCCTCCATAGCTGTGCCGGTCAGGCCGGCTTTCTTCTTCTTCTGAAGCAGTATGAAGAGCTGATAAAGCAGCCGTGTGGCGGCACCGTGCTGCTCCCGCATCACTGCTTGGGCCATGCTCAGGTCGAAGGAAACTCCGAGCAGTTGCAATGTGGGTTCCATGAGTGTGAAGTTATTCAGCTTTGAGTTTGCGGTGCTAGGAGAGACAATTGTTGTGTAACTTCTGAAAAGTGTGCTCGCTCAACAGTTTGGCGCTACCTAGGTAAAATAACAAGATATTGAACATTGTTGATTTAAAAAAATACACTACCGGTCAAAAGTTTTAGAACACCTACTCATTCAAGGGTTGTTCTTAATTTTTACTATTTTCTACATTGTAGAATAATAGTGAAGACATCAAAACTATGAAATAACATATATGGAATCATGTAGTAACCAAAACAGTGTTAAACAAATCAAAAAATATATTTTATATTTGAGATTCTTCAAATAGCCACCCTTTGCCTTGATGACAGCTTTGCACACTCTTAGCATTCTCTCAACCAGCTTCACCTGGAATGCTTTTCCAACAGTCTTGAAGGAGTTCCCACATATGCTGAGCACTTGTTGGCTGCTTTTCCTTCACTCTGCCGTCGGACTCATCCCAAACAATCTCAATTTGGGTTGAGGTCGGGGGATTGTGGAGGCCAGGTCATCTGATGCAGCACTCCATCACGGTAAAATAGCCCTTACACAGCCTGGAGGTGTGTTGGGTCATTGTCCTGTTGAAAAACAAATAATAGTCCCACTAAGCCCAAACCAGATGGGATGGCATATCGCTGCAGAATGCTGTGGTAGCCATGCTGGTTAAGTGTGCCTTGAATTCTAAATAAATCACAGACAGTATCACCAGCAAAGCACCACCACACCATAACACCTCCTCCTCCATGCTTTATGGTGGGAAATACCACCGGTCTAATGTCCATTGCTCGTGTTTCTTGGCCCAAGCAAGTCTCTTCTTCTTATTGGTGTCCTTTAGTATGGTTTCTTTGCAGCAATTCGACCATGAAGGCCTGATTCACGCAGTCTCCTCTGAACAATTGATGTTGAGATGTGTCTGTTACTTGAACTCTGTGAAACTTTTATTTGGACTGCAATTTCTGAGGCTGGTAACTCTAATAAACTTATCCTCTGCAGCAGAGGTAACTCTGGGTCTTCCTTTCCTGTGGCGGTCCTCATGAGAGCCAGTTTCATCATAGCACTTGATGGTTTTTGCGACTGCACTTGAAGAAACTTTAAAAGTTCTTGAAATGTTCCGTATTGACTGACCTTCATGTCTTAAAGTAATGATGGACTGTCGTTTCTCTTTGCTTATTTGAGCTGTTCTTGCCATAATATGGACTTGGTATTTTACCAAATAGGGCTATCTTCTGTATACCCCCCCCTACCTTGTCACAACACAACTGACTGGCTCAAATGCATTAAGAAGGAAAGAAATTCCACAAATTAACTTTTAACAAGGCACACCTGTTAATTGAAATGCATTCCAGGTGACTACTTCATGAAGCTGGTTGAGAGAATGCCAAGAGTGTGCAAAGCTGTCATCAAGGCAAAGGGTGGCTATTTGAAGAATCTCAAATATAAAATATATTTTTTGATTTGTTTAACACTGTTTTGGTTACTACATGATTCCATATATGTTATTTCATAGTTTTGATGTCTTCACTATTATTCTACAATGTAGAAAATAGTAAAAATAAAGAACAACCCTTGAATGAGTAGCCTAGGTGTTCTAAAACTTTTCACCGGTAGTGTATATCTTAAACTGATTAACTTACTTGCTCTTTAAGAACAGGTCAAAATCCTCCTGCAGTTGATATTTATGCAGGACCTCTCCAATAAGGTAGCCATTTGCAAAATCCTTAGAGAAGGATCTGGGGTCTGCAAAAAGACAAGAGTGTAACATATAGGGCCATCTAGGCTACTCAAGATCAACAACTGGAACCCCTACAGCTACACTTGACTGCTATTTACTCTTGCAAATTTTGGGATGACAAGGGAAAAAGCTAACCAACAAACTAGTTTATTAAAGGCACATATTGCAATTTCAATACCCTGGGTTAGGTATTAAATTGGCTTACAAACAAAAGAGTAAAGCAGTTTATATTTTGAGTTTTGATGGGGTAAGGCTGTTGAACTATGCTCACGAGGCATTTCTAAATTATATTATTCAAGAATCAATGACTATATATCATTAATTTAAAAGTACGTTAATCCCGGATTGCCCTTTCATTTATCACTATTGAACAGCAGGAAATATGGCAGACTAACCGTTACGGCTGTAATTCTACTCATATTTTTTTGCTAACTAGAAATACTACACAACACAATACACAAAACATGCAATGCAAATCACAAGTTGGATTCATTGCATCAAAAGCTAATTGTGTCTACAGACTGGCTAGACAAGTTTGTTAGTTTAAAGTTAATACTGTAACTAGCTAGTTAACGTTAGCTGTTCACACTTACCAACGTATTTTGATAACCGGAGCTCTACGTTTAGCCACCTGCATAATATATCCGACATCTTGACGTTTTCGTTATTGTTGTGTAGCTAAATATTATAAGTATTAAACTACATGATAGCTCTAACTTGTTCTGGCTAGCTAGGGGGGAAATAGACAACAACCACAAGGTGTGCCGTTGCCATAGTGATATACCAACTAAAAGTGGGGTTTGGGGAAAGCAAGCAGCGCCCGTCTCTCTTGTGGGTTGTGCTTGTGACTGAATCAGCAGCTCCTTGAATAATCACTGGGTTGATCACTGAAAATAACCTGCCAAAGCTGCCCTGTAGTGATTGATTGCGCCAATGGCAATATGTAGCCATGCATTGTAACATACAGGCAAACATTTGTAAAAAGAAGTCATTAAGATTGATAAATTCACAGGTAGACACGGTGACCTTCGATACATACCTCAGTGTTTCACCGAATTTTACCTTTCTTATGCAATACAATATGTGTGTGTGTTTCTTCTTGTAAAATAATTCACAGTAAGAGAGGTTTTAATACTTTATTGCCTTAAAAACAGGTTACATTGCAGTGTTAGCACTTAGCAGTGTTTTAACAATTAGTGTTCTAATTTTGTTCAGTTGATAATCCTCCTGAAGAATGTAAATGTAAAATGTAAGAAATGTTCAGTGTTTTTCTCCAATAAACCAAGGCTGCTTCCAAATATGGGACCCTATAGAGTACCACAGAATGAGTCATAACACCTAGCAGTCAAACAGGGAAATGGTTCCAAACGTTTTTACACCATTAATTTATCCCATAGTGGATTTTAGAAACACATAAAATAAGGGCTGTGTTTCTTGTAGGCTTACCCTGGCGTGACGTTTTGGTAACTGTGTAAATCTCTTTAGGACAAGATGACATTTATCAATGTATTCACCTGTATTTACCCACCCAAAATGAAATTCTAATTAGCTGCTAATGTGGCTATCACAAAGAACTACAAATGATCTCGACGAGACTGCCGAATCGAGGCAAAGGTAAGAATCTCTGGATTAACTATCTAATGTTAGTTAAATGTAGTAATGAATAAATTGGCTACATTTCTTTAAAATGGTCAATTCTGTAAACTGTCTTGTGCAAGTTTTAAATTGACACAATACCTGTTAGCAAAGGTGTCAGCTAGAGATGACGTGCAGGAGCTTGCAGGGATTAGTAATTTTGCATGATGTCTACTTTGATGGTAATTAGCATTTTCGAATCAGAGTAAATTAAGCCGAATATATTGATAAAAGTCACCTTGTCCGAGAGAGATTTACATGGTTATCAAAACGTCACGCCCGAGTATGCCTACACTAAACATGTAAGTCTTTCTAAAATCCCCTATAGGAAAAATGAATGGTGGAAAAAAACGATTGGGAACCATTTTCCTGTTTGACCTCTAGGATTTATGGGTATTATGACACCTCCACCATGGGGCTCTATTCCCTATGTAGAGTAGTACACTATATAGGGAATAGGGTACCATTTGGTGTGTACGCAAACCAAGCATTTTCAGTGTTCAGAATAGGAGCTGCATAATTTTCTGAAAGACATGAGTCAAGCTGTCATGCACAATGTCATTATTATTGTTATTACATATTAAGTAGTACATAGTATATATATCATCATTATTTTGATGTTGAAGGAAATTCCACTCTTAAAAATGGTTAATAGTTTATACAACATGCACAAACTTACAGGCAAAACAAGAAGCCATGAGCCATTAGCAGACATCACGATTCCTGTCACTAAAATCCCTATTACAACACAACCCAAGCAAGCTGAAGCTGGAAGTAATGCCATTACATTAGACTGTTTGGACAAATACATCGCTTGCATCAGTGAGTGATATGACTTGATTCAAACCCTGTAACATGTAACAGACCTAACAAGATAGATACATTGTCTGATGCTCCTCCCCCCCCCCCCAAAAAAAAAACCTAGAGATTTCTAGAATTCCAGGACAAATATATTTTTTTAAATGTTATACAACTGTACAGAGTTGTTGTGAGACAGAGAAGGTAGGAAATACACAATTTACGATATATATAAAAAAATAACTTCAGAGCAAGAGCAGTGTTTACCAAATCAACATAAAATTTTAACGCATAGCATTAGGTTAGTCTCCAACGCTCTGAAGACGACTTCAGAAGAGCATGTCTATTAAAGCCATTTATTATGGCTACTCTATTATTCCTCTACATATGTCACAGTAGTACTTAAAGCTTTGTTGCTGGAGGCTCTGGGAAAATGGAAGAGTGACACGATTAGCCAGTCTGCTTGTGCCATCATGCCAAACTCCTTGTCAATGGAGTTGGCAAGTGCATAAATAGATCTGGGACCAGGCTACGACAAGATATCAATGTTCGCTGAAAAGTTCGAAACCGGCTCCCAGATTGTCCTGTATTCTCTGACAACAACCCAGGAAATACTCTACTATAATTAAGCAATAAGGCCCAAGGGGGTGTGATATATAGCCAATATACCATGGCTCAGGGCTGTTCTAAAGCACGATGCAACGTGGAGTGCCTGGATTCAGCCCTTAGCCGTGGTATATTGTCCATTTACCACAAACCCCCGAGCTGCCTTATTGCTGTTATAAACTGGTTACCAATGTAATTAGAGCAGTGAAAAGTAACGTTTTGTCATACCCTGATATACCACGGCTTTCAGCCAATCAGCATTCAGGGCTCGAACCACCCAGTTTATAATATACTATACACAAGTTCATCTGGATCTCCCTGAAACACATCAACAGGCACTCACAGCAAATCCACTGCAACCACTTCAACTAGCGATCCAGGCTAACTTAGAACAGCTGTTCTCAAACACCAACAATAACTCCAAGCCTGTATTTACTTAGTGCATGTGTATTCATTTCACAGTAACAATTCTATAGGCATATGTAGTATGTCTGAATAATGCCAAAAATAGTGTTAATTACTATTTAGTAGGAAAACCGTTGGCCAATAATCTATTGTTAAACTATTTATACGTCGTGCTAGGCTTGGGGTCAATTCCGCTTCAATTCAGGAAGTAAAGAGAAAATTCCAATTCCTTTTCGTTGAAAAGCATTGAGGAACATTTTAAATGCAATTTGAGTTCCCTTCCTGAATTAACTTAATTGAAATTGACCCCAAGCCTGCATTGCACTATTATGGAGGATTACCTCTATATCCATATCCCACTGCATTGGAGGGTAAACTCCAGATCCCATGATGCAATTCTGCATAATGTGTTCAGTTGTTTTGATACCCCATATTGATCTATTTACAAGGCATAAAACGTTTGTCGAAATAGGCCAAAATGATTGGAAGCATAACATTTAAGGCAACACTTATGTTTGCTTAAACTGTCAAGGCGTGATTTAGTAAAGGGCTGTAGAACAAACAACAGTTCAATGGTGGAGGCCCAACAGATCTGGAATATATCTAACAATACAACCATGCAAAACACATTTATATTTTTTGTTATATCTAAGAATGTGCAAGTGAAAAGTGGTGCGTTTCAAATGCATACTTAAAAACCATGAGGGGGAACTAACTTATCTTCCACATTTAGCAAGGGCACCTTCTGAGGCCCCTGGCTTGGAACGAAAACACAAAAATACACAATAAAATATAACATGATAGTACATTTTTCCATGTACTACTAGCTTATTTCAGTGAATATTTGCTATTACCAGAAAGTTTCAGAGGACAACAATAAGTAATTCAGACATCTTCATTAATTGTGTCAGAATCTAACTACTAGTACGTGTAGCAGACATCTGTGATTTTCAGGGCAATTGTTTTAGAAAATGCTGTCAACTTTCTATGAACTAGAATGCCTTTCAGTAGCACGGCAGCTCCCACAAACCGCTCAATCTCCACAAACGCAATCCAGCAAATCTAGGATTAGTGTAATTAGTGTTCTTTTAGGAGTGACATTTGTTAGTTTACACCAACATGAGCTTAGAAACATAACATTGAAATGTGTATTGTAACAACAAATGCCCGGTTGGGAAGGTGAGAGAAGGCAGTGACAAATTGGATGTGAAGCTCGTGACTCGTCGTCATGACATTGGGCTGCCTCAGGGTTTGCCCGTCAGGAGGTTGTGGAACCAGGTGCTTGCTGATGACGGGTGCTCCTTGCCCTCCTCTGAGGAGGTGTCATGAGGGAGCAGGAACTGGGAGGAGGTGACGGAGGTGGGACTGCCCAGGTAGGCTTGGTCCAAGCCGCCGTCAGCCTCGGGGGAGTCCTGTTTCCAAGAGCACTGGGGCTGGTACCCTCCAAAAGAGCCCACAGGGGGCTGAAGGTGCTCCTCAGGGCCAGCTTGGGGATCCTCGGGGCATGATGCAGACTGCATCTGGGGCCGGTAACCTCCATCGCCAGCACATTGGGATGCATCAGGCTGAGGCTGGAAGTGGGCCAGGGAGCAGGCAGAGGTCTGGATGCCGGTGTAGGTGACGTCGGTGTGTCCTGAGTCCATGGAGCCGGTGGAGGAGGCCGAGGAGGCCGAGGAGTCGGAGGCGTGAGGACGACCCCGGGAGGAGGAGCCCTCCTCCACCACCTGGTTGTAGTAGCGAAGCACGGCGGGCTCGTCGGTGTCGGCCGCCTCGTCACCTGTACCCTCCTCGTCCTCCTCGGGAACGCTCACCAGAGCCTCCTTGCTTGAGTCCCACACGGGGTCCTCCACGATGTGCACCATGCTGTGGGGCGAGGGCTTCACGTCCAAAGTCCCCTGGAAACAAACACACATGATTTAGTGCTTATGAGAAAAAGTCCTGTTACAAAGTTCTACTAACTTTCCAGAAATGCTGGTTGGAGGATTCTGTATTTTCTGCTTATTCTCTCCTGATTCAGGGCATCCTCCAACCTAGATTTCTGAAAAATCTAGGAATTTTGTCACCCTAGTCCTGTGTCTGGCATCATGTTTTCCCCAAGATGGTGAAGATGGAGAAAGAGAACACAGTGACTAGAAGGGATTAGGCCACACTGATAGGATAAGAACAGAGAGCTTACCTGTGTTATCCCCCAGTCTCCTGGTAGCTTGGGCTCTGGAATTTCGGGGTAGAAGGCCTTCTTCACCCTTTTCATGAAAAACAAAAAGCATAATAACATTATTCTCTGTTATAAACTGGGTGGTTCGAGCCCTGAATGCTGATTGGCTGAAAGCTGTGGTATAGCAGACCGTATACCACGGGTATGACAAAACATGTATTTTTACTGCTCTAATTACGTTGGTAACCAGTTTATAATAGCAATAAGGCACCCAGGGGGTTTGTGGTATATGGCCAATATACCACAGCTAATGGCTGTATCCAGGCACTCTGCGTTGCATCGTGCATAAGAACAGCCCTTAGCCGTGGTATATTGGCCATATACCATACCCCCTCAGGCCTTTTTGCGTAATTATAACAGACAATCTGGTGTTGGTGATTTAGGTTTTTACTGGCTCCGGGGTTACATTTCCTCTAGGTTCAGATATAGGATCAGCTTCCCCTCCCCCAATCCGAACCTTTACAACCATTAGTGGCCGGGAAATGCAAAAGTGACCCAAGATCAAACTACTCCTTTTGACTCTGCCAAAGCAGTGAAAAACACAAGCCTACCATTTCCTCTTCCTGTAGCAAGCGATGGTGATGAGGATCAGGACACAGGTCATGGCGCCCAGAGCAACCAGGAGCTCCAGGATCAGCCAATAGGCTACAGGAAAGGAAGGGGTTTGAGATGCCATTGCTGGCTGTTACACTTTTGCATTGATCAATCGGAGCAATAAAACAGTCCCTTGCCCGGATATGGGCACACTATACATACCACACTCAGCACTTGATAATTATAAAGTACAATGCGGGTGTGAGACGTATGTAGGTGAGCTAGGCTGTGGTAACATTGTCATATGTACTAAATATGAGGTATCAGCTGTGACTGTCAATCTGAACCTTAAACTATTAGTGCCTAGTAAAATGCGAAACATGACACAAGATTAAACTACGACTCCTGTGAGACTCTGACCAAAGCATGTAAAACTATAAAGCCTATCATCCTCTCTGTAGAAGCATGTGTCGATAGGATATGTACAACTATGGCGCCTAAAACCAAGCTGGACAGCAATAGTACGAAGACAAGGAAGTGGGAATTGTTAGTAGATCCAGGCTACGTGTGTTACATCTTTGACATTACTGATCACAACGAGGCCTATAAAACGAATGCCTGAAATACCAAATGTAATGTAAAACAAGGCCATAAAACAGCTGTGAGAACTGTGAGAGAATGTTGACAGAACTTAATGTAAAACTATGAGGCCTAAAAACAGCTGTGAGAACAGAGAGAATGTTGACAGAACGTACTGTAAACTATGAGGCCTATAAACAGCTGTGAGAACTGTGAGAGAATGTTGACAGAACTTAAGTAAAACTCGAGGCCTAACACACTGTGAACTGACAGTGTAGGCCTTGACAGTGAACTTGTAGGAGCCCAGGACCAGGTGCCTGACTGACACTGTGGCGCCTCGTCTCCCCTGTGCAGGTTGGTGATGCTGTTGGCCCGGACAGTGCTCTGTGTGTTGGCTGTGGATCTTGTGTGCGGCAATCAGAGAGAGAGGAAACATAGATGTTGTCCATGGTTACCACTGGTGAGTTCCACTAGTTGAGAGGCTTAAACACAGCTCACCTGATATGTCCTTGTTGAGGGCTGAGGGCTAAATGTATATCACAGGAGGTTTGTGGCACCTTAATTGGGGAGGACTGGCTCATGGTAATGGCTGTAGCGGAATAGTATCAAATACATCAAACATGTGGCTTGATGCCATTCCATTTGCTCCAGCCATTATTTTGAGCCGTCCTCCCCTCAACAGCCTTCACTGATGTATTTATGCACAGTATGTATGCATAGGGCTGGGACGATAAACCCAAAATTACAGACAACGACATTGAAATCCTCTTACCGAAGCATTTTGCTTACGTCGGAAATTTTCGGTGATTTTGCTACAGAACGTTGCTCTATATTTTTCTAAAACCATGATTTGGTCAACAATAATAATAGCCTATGCATTATGTTGACTCCTGCTATGAAAGTATCTTCCTATCCCTGTTTGGCTGTAGTCTGCTGACTCTCACTCTCTCTCCCCACTGTGACACGGAGGAGGGAGAGATGCATTCTGAGAAGCATAAGCATATGACCATTGCTCAAAACTGCGGCAAAAATACAGTTTTTAAAGCAACTACTGTTGTTCTAGTTACACAGAGGAGAGTCACAGCTTTCTGTGAGTATATCATATATTTCTCACCTCTTAATATTGAGTTCACGCACAACCGGAACAGGCTGTAGTTAGTATGGTTTTGATACGCCCGCGGAGCCGAGTTGGGTGGAGCGCGCCATTTGCAGTGAATAGGTCTCCATCAAGTAGCCTAGGCCTAGCGCTGGAAGGTTTTGTAGGACATTAGCCTACATTTACTGATAGATTAATCAATTAGCCTACATGGCTATCTAGCAACAATATCATATTTAGAGTTAGCAATCTACAGTGGGGAAAAAAAGTATTTGGTCAGCCACCAATTGTGCAAGTTCTCCCACTTAAAAAGATGAGAGAGGCCTGTAATTTTCATCATAGGTACACGTCAACTATGACAGACAAATTGAGAATTTTTTTTCCAGAAAATCACATTGTAGGATTTTTGATGAATTTATTTGCAAATTATGGTGGAAAATAAGTATTTGGTCACCTACAAACAAGCAAGATTTCTGGCTCTCACAGACCTGTAACTTCTTCTTTAAGAGGCTCCTCTGTCCTCCACTCGTTACCTGTATTAATGGCACCTGTATGAACTTGTTATCAGTATAAAAGACACCTGTCCACAACCTCAAACAGTCACACTCCAAACTCCACTATGGCCAAGACCAAAGAGCTGTCAAAGGACACCAGAAACAAAATTGTAGACCTGCACCAGGCTGGGAAGACTGAATCTGCAATAGGTAAGCAGCTTGTTTTGAAGAAATCAACTGTGGGAGCAATTATTAGGAAATGGAAGTCATACAAGACCACTGATAATCTCCCTCGATCTGGGGCTCCACGCAAGATCTCACCCCGTGAGGTCAAAATGATCACAAGAACGGTGAGCAAAAATCCCAGAACCACATGGGGGGACCTAGTGAATGACCTGCAGAGAGCTGGGACCAAAGTAACAAAGCCTACCATCAGTAACACACTACGCCGCCAGGGACTAAAATCCTGCAGGGCCAGACGTGTCCCCCTGCTTAAGCCAGTACATGTCCAGGCCCGTCTGAAGTTTGCTAGAGTGCATTTGGATGATCCAGAAGAGGATTGGGAGAATGTCATATGGTCAGATGAAACCAAAATATAACTTTTTGGTAAAAACTCAACTCGTCGTGTTTGGAGGACAAAGAATGCTGAGTTGCATCCAAAGAACACCATACCTACTGTGAAGCATGGGGGTGGAAGCATCATGCTTTGGGGCTGTTTTTATGCAAAGGGACCAGGACGACTGATCCGTGTAAAGGAAAGAATGAATGGGGCCATGTATCGTGAGATTTTGAGTGAAAACCTCCTTCCATCAGCAAGGGCATTGAAGATGAAATGTGGCTGGGTCTTTCAGCATGACAATGATCCCAAACACACCGCCCGGGCAACGATGGAGTGGCTTCGTAAGAAGCATTTCAAGGTCCTGGAGTGGCCTAGCCAGTCTCCAGATCTCAACCCCATAGAAAATCTTTGGAGGGAGTTGAAAGTCCGTGTTGCCCAGCGACAGCCCCAAAACATCACTGCTCTAGAGGAGATATGCATGGAGGAATGGGCCAAAATACCAGCAACAGTGTGTGAAAACCTTGTGAAGACTTACAGAAAACGTTTGACCTGTACAAATTATTGAGAAACTTTTGTTATTGACCAAATACTTATTTTCCACCATAATTTGCAAATAAATTCATTAAAAATCCTAGAATGTGATTTTCTGGATTTCTTTTCCTCATTTTGTCTGTCATAGTTGACGTGTACCTATGATAAAAATTACAGGCCTCTCTCATCTTTTTAAGTGGGAGAACTTGCACAATTGGTGGCTGACTAAATACTTTTTTCCCCCACTGTATAAATCCGGGCCCAGGGGCTATTTTGAAGAGTTACCCAGTTGGGTGATGGTTAGGGTGAAGAGTTACCCAGTAGTGTTAGGGTGAAGAGTTACCCAGTAGGGTTAGGGTGAAGGGTTACCCAGTAGGGTTAGGGTGAAGGGTTACCCAGTAGGGTTAGGGTGAAGGGTTACCCAGTAGGGTTAGGGTGAAGATTTACCCAGTAGGGTTAGGGTGAAGGGTTACCCAGTAGGGTTAGGGTGAAGATTTACCCAGTAGGGTTAGGGTGAAGAGTTACCCAGTAGGGTTAGGGTGAAGGGTTACCCAGTAGGGTTAGGGTGAAGGGTTACCCAGTAGGGTTAGGGTGAAGGGTTACCCAGTAGGGTTAGGGTGAAGGGTTACCCAGTAGGGTTAGGGTGAAGGGTTACCCAGTAGGGTTAGGGTTGAAGAGTTACCCAGTAGGGTGAGGTGGGATGCGTTTGTCAGGTAGACGGTGTATCCCAGGATGAAGCCTCTCTGATGCTCCAGTGGAATCTGATCCCAGGTCAGCTGGACGTCAGAGCCCTCCTGGTTGGGTGACAGCCTGGGGACGGCCTGAGACGGGACTGCATAGAAAGGGAGAGGGAGGGTCAGACGTGACAAGGGAGATATTTAAAGGGATAGTTCACTGAAAAAATACTTTGGTATTTTGTTAAATTAGTCCACTGTTGATACGGTCCCATAAAATTGTACATGTCAGCAGTCAGGTTTGCTAGATAGAGCACTTTCAGTACACAGAAGGAAAGTATGGTAATAGAAAATGTATCATATGATGCAAAACGCTTCATCAGCACACTTTTAGATTGGTACTTCTTGCTCTATCTTGAAAACTGTTGAGACCATATCAACAGTGTTGTTTTGATTTGTATTTTATTTATGCAGGGGAACCTATTGAGACCAGGGTCTAATTTACAATCCTGCCCTGAGGACAACAATACAACAAATTCTAAATGATCAATAAAAATGACATAAACAACACTACAGTACAGCTTCAAAACACCACAAATACAATTGATTATATTCAAATCCAAACAGTTGCAATTCTCATTAATTCCACTCAACATTGAAGTCCTAAACTGCCCCAGAGGGAGGGGGGGGGGGCACTAAAACTGAAGGAGGATGTACCTAGATCGATAGTTACTAGAGGAACCTTGAGAGTTAACCATCCCTGTCCACGTGTATGGTATCTCATAGTTTTATATATTAACAGTGAAGTGAGGTAAGTTGGAAACTAGTGTAGTAGTAGCTTTTTAAACAGAAATTGAGTAACGAAAAGCCCGACGGGACATTAATGACGACCAGTCAATCTTTTGATACAGGATGCAGTGATGCGTATGAAAACTGTCTCTTGTGATAAAGTGAAGGGCGCTATGGTAGACGGCGTCCAATGGTTTAAGAGTAGTCACCATGGTCAAGAACTGGCAGGAAAGTTGACTGTACAATCTGCTTCCTGCTGTTTAGGGAGCCGCATGATCTATTTCTATAAAAAGATGCCTACTTTAAATCTCAGTTTCTTAACTAGCTCATCCGTATGTTTTTTCAACATCAAATTATTGTCAATCCAAAAGGCCAGATATTTATAGGCTGGAACCTGCTCGATAAAAGAACCATCCAATGCATAAACGTGTAAGCCATCTGAAATATTGCTATGAGAATTAGAAAACAGAATACATTTAGTTTTTCCCGCATTAAGTACCAATTTTAAATCAACAAATCTGATTGCAGCTCCAACATACCCTGGTCAGCCATAGGGCAGTAGAGTACATAAGTGTAATCTGCATACTGATAAATGTTACTGGTCTTTGCAAATAGACCAATATGATTATATAAATAGTAAAGAGGTCAGGTCCCAAAATCGACCCCTGCAGGACACCTTTAGTAATATCGAGTTAACTTGACACCATCAGAAAGCACACATGGTCTCCTGTCTGACAGATAGTTCCCAAACCACTTGCAAGACGCCTGGTCGAGGCATATTTCAGACAACTTTGAATGAGTAGGGGATGGTCGACAGTATCAAAGGCCTTGGATAGGTATATAAATATGGCAGCACAGTGATTCCTATGATCTAAGCTATTTAATATAAGACAAGCGTAGTGTATTAATGAACAAAATGCTCCAACGTGTTTTCTGGAGTAAAATATCCCTGAAAAAGACAAATACAATATGCTCAATGCAGTCATTCAATTGCCAGCCAACCTACCCAGTTCCTGCATGTACCCATGCCACCTCTCTAGCAGAACCGTGGACTCTGATGAACAGGCGTACAAAGAAAACGTGTATCTCACTCCTGCAAAAAAGTTACCTGGGAAGGAGAAAAAAGCATTTATTGAGACACACTCAGCGATGGATAGGCTGTCTGGCATTTCTGGCAAATGCCAGATGGGCCAGTCACACACTAAATCGATTATTTAAACATGAAAAAAAAGGTCCATCCCAGACTCACTGGATTGAACCACGGTGTTGGTGTTGTCCGCTGCCACCTTGGTCCACTCCACACTGCAGTCCTGTGTGCAGCTAGTGTTGTACCAGTCCACCACGTAGCCACAGCTAGCGTTAGTTTGGGCCACCCAGGACAGGGGAAACCCACTGCCATTGAACGCGACCTTGGAGATGGTGGTGTCCTCTGTATCTAAAAGACAGTCACAGTTCAGGCTCAGTCCTAGAGCCCTTGTTTTCCCAACATGCATCCCTTTTAAAGTTATATGTGTAAGGGAGGGAGTGCCAAGGCAAGTATTCATAAAGTGTCTCAGAGCAGGAGTGCTGATCCTAGTGCCCTATTATTAATGATGATTTCAAAAGCCAAACTGATCCTAGATCCGGAGTCCTATTCTGAGACGCTGAATTCGGGCCTCCTTTTCCCCCATTCTTACCTGGCAAGTGTCTGGGGATGACGATGTTCGCTGGGAGGGAAACTCCTGCAGGGTTCCGCGCAGTGACCGTGACTTTACTCCCGCGGTCAGTCATGTTGATGGGGTGACTGTACATGCTCTGGGGGAGGGTGAAAGTCTGTTGGCCATTCTCCTCGGGGCTCCACAGGGTCACCTCATAACCGCTGACCTGGCCGTGGCTCTCTCTCTTTGTTAGAGGCTTGAGGGGAAAAGCATAGCCGGTGAAGAGTACATTTAGGGACAGTTTTGCAGACACAGATCAAGGCTAGTGCTGGACAAAAAAAACATGCTTAATGGAGAATTTCTATTGAAAGTGCTTTTAAATCCAGGACTAGTCTGGGAAAGGCCCTTAGTAGTGTAGCTACATGACCACTCACACACACAGAAACCCAATATATTACGGTAAGCAGCTACGTAGTACTCACTTTCCACAAAACACGGCCTAGGTTGTCGCTGTCCATCCACACCCATATGTCAGGAGCCTTGGGGCCTGGCACAGGAGAAAAAAACAGAGCTTTAAAGCTAGAATACTTCATGGTGAAACTGCCACGGCCGTTGGCGATATTACAACAAAGAAGTTACTGCAAACAATGAACACTGTTTTTCCCCCTCTGACACGCGCGATGGAACAGCAGCATATGTAAGGCAACATGTTTTACCACGAGGCACCATTGTTTTACCACGAGGCACCACGCTCCCCAGCTCTGCTTAGTCAACCAAACAAAAACAATAACAACGGCCGTGGCGCCGTTTCCCCTACTGCAGGATTCCATCCTTAAAAAGTGTTTAGTTCTGTATTTCAGTGTTTCCTTATTGTCTAATGAAAGCAGTATGTGTGGAAACAGCACTGCCATGTGGCCAAAAATATCAATGCCTCATGACCAGGTCAAAGGCAGCTCCTAGTCATTGGAATGTCAAGTCTCATTCCAGAGTTAACTGCTACTGTGATTATGTTGCATTTCTTTTAGATGTTTACTTTTGTATGATTTATATATGATCTCTGTCAGTGTATACCTCTGTAAGGCCTCATCTGTAAAACCTTTCGTCTCAATCCCACTATTTATTTATATTTAATAAAAGAATGTTCACAAAAATATCTCCAATGACAAGGGGTGTGTGCTCACGGTCCATTTTGGTTTGGAAACTCAGCGGCAAACTCCACTCTCCCCATTTCCAGAAGTTCTTCTGGGATCCACAGCGGACCTTAACGCTGTACTCTTCATCGGGCTGCAGGTCCTTCAGTACCGCTGTGTTCAGTCCGTGACCAGTGTAGGTTTGCTAGATGGTTTTAAAAAAAGACAACACAAAACCATACAATACAACTGATTATTTCAATGAAAGTCATGATTTTTTAAGTCATATACATATTCACATGATCCTTTCCTCCATATTCTCATGATCACTGTCTCGTTCAAATAGAATTGAATAAGGGCGGTAGTGGTCGAATATTTGAGATGTTCCAATATCCCCCTTTAAATGTCTAACTCTTTACCTCCTTACTCTCTGTACTCCCTTATTATTTAAATATTATTCAAAAAATGTATCACACAGAAAACATTAGTTTTTTCCCCTTCCTCCATTTGTGAGGACGTTTGGTAACATCAGGGATATTGGATTACATTCATTTTTGAGGATGATGCTAAATCATGCTAACTACTGCCTGTAGCAAAGGTAAACAACAGATTATTGTGGATGCTGTCACTACTGGCTTACATAGACAACTCAAGGTAAGATTAAAAGGAGACGTTTGCTTTTTTCAACCAAATCTTTGATGTAAATGGCATGTTATAGAAGAGCCCAGACAGACACCGGTTTTACGATTTCACTTGGCTGGTGGGGGTAAGTTTCTCAAAACCAAATGAAAAATCGCTAAAAACGAAAGAAAGAAACGAACTTGTCCTTTAATGTAACCCAAACATGTAGATTGGATAAAGCAGCCCTTTAAGTCCACTCACTGTGCTGATGTTCCAGTGGCTGCTACGTTGCACCTGGCAGATAAGGGACAGCCTCTCGTAACCATTGTAGTTCCAGTGCCAACCCACACTGGCATTCCAGCTATAGACCTCTGGGGTGGTCAAATTCACAGGGGCCACTGGACGGACTGGCAAAAACATTACATTCAAAAGAGTGTATAAAGACCTTGCTCTGCAGCACTGCTGATGCTGTGACTTGTTGTATTGAAGTTTACATACAGTAATATAATATTAATAACATTTAGTAATAATGAGACTGTATCGAACAGCAGCACTTACCTCTGTGACCCAGCTGGGCTGCGTCTGTAAGCCTGAACTGGCCCAGCGGGTTGCGTGCGACTAGGGTCCAGTTCCCTTCCCACTGCTCCCAACCACAATGCATGTTGCTGTTCTTGGCTTTGGTGCAGTTCCTGAACATTCCAATGGCAAAGAAAAGGGATGAGAGCAGACATTATATCCCCTCCAATAGCCAGGTTATTGCGTCCCAAATTGCATCCTATTCCCTATACAGTGCACTACTTTTGACTAGAGGCCATTTGCAACACAGACATATCTAAAGCTGCAATATGTAACTTTTTGGGCGATCCAACCAAATTCACATAGAAATGTGAGTTATAGATCTGTCATTCTCATTGAAAGCAAGTCTAAGAAGCGGTAGATCTGTTCTATGTGCGCTATTTCTATGCTTCCCGTTCTTAAGTTTAGTTTTTGCGTCTTTTACTTTCAGTTTTGTACACCAGCTTCAAACAGCTGAAAATACAATATTTTTGGTTATGGAAAATATATTTCACAGCGGTTTAGATGATACAATGATTCTCTACACTCTTGAGTGCTTGTTTTCTCCCATCAACTGAAATTAGGCGAATTATTAGAATGGCAGATCGATTTCTGCATATTGCACCATTAACGTCATCTATTCAGGAAACATAGAGGATCAAATGTGAACGTTTGTAAGACTGTACCTTCCGTTCAGGGTGTAGTACGTCTGACGGGTCTTTCCAAACAGGTAGGTATTTCGGCCCTTTGTCCACTGACAGTCCACAGAGATCAGGTCATGGGTCTCACACACCAAGTCACTGGGCAGAGGGGGGTCTAGAGATGGTGGTGGGGGGGGTATGGTCAAGGAAAATCTCTTAACATGCTTAGCCAATAGCCATTCACATACTGTACAATAGATAACAGACATACAATGCAGCTTAGCCGTGATTGATTCACTACTAGTGAAAGTTTGAGGGTCTGCATGTAGGGAATTCTGCATTGAACAAATGCAAACCCTTCACTACAAAGTGCACTTACACCCCACGAACACGACGGCGCCGGTGACCATTATGTTCTTCTCGTTGCTGCAGACCACATTGGTCCCGGAGGGGTTGGACGGTTCCCGAATGGTCATCGTGGTAGCGTAGGTCCGCCTACTCAGCATGGTCTCGTTCATCTGTAAGGTTTTGTACCACAGGTTCCCAAACTGCTGACCCTCTTCCACGATGCAGCAGAACGTCATGTCGCTGCCCACGGGAACCGTTTTCCCCTCTGGGTACATTTGTGCAACCGCGTTGTCCGGGAGGTCCAACCCTGGGGGGGGGGGGGGGGGGGGGGGGGGAGAAACAAATAAATCTACATTTTAGATACTTGGGAGAAGAATAACCTTTTTTTTTTCTGGCTCAAAATGGGGTGGTGGGCGTCACCAATGGTACGGTCGCTGACTGAACATTTTAGAGGTACTCCTCTTTAGCTGTTTTAATGCAAATGTCCTGCAATTCTACCCATTTTGCCATGGTATCTGAATGACTTGAACGTAACAAAATCAATGCGGGCCCCATGCCATGACAAAAATACTCCTGACTGTCTAGCTTCGATCTTTTCTACATACTTTATATATATATATATATATATATATGTGGTATTATTACTGTAAGTGTACACTGAAAACGTTTTCTTACTGTTTGGACATAGGCGGCCCCAAAACAACACTTAGGCAGCCCACACAATACTTTCCTATGCAGAATAAAAACCCTGATTATGGAGGCATAGACCTGCCCCACCGTAAAATACTTGATTTATTCCAGAGGAGCAATTAGTTTGAGTAGGTCTGCAGCAACAACAACATGCCACACCCATCATCATAGTACCACTGCTGACAGGTCTATCTAAAAAGGCAATTCTGTCCATAAAAAGGACATCTACAGCTCACCTGTTGTTTTATGAGTACATGATGCTATTGAAAAATGTAATATTCCTACCTTTTTGCAAAATAACGGATAACTTTCCCAAAATCCCCAGGTTTTCCAGAAGTTCTGGTTGGAGGATTCCGGATTTCTGCTCATTCCCTTCTGATTGTGTGAATCACCCTACTCTAGGAAGAACAATATATAGGGAGTGCTGCAAGCCCCCTGTATGCAGAGAGACCCAACCTGGAAGGATCTGTTGAGAACTCCATTCGCTGACATCTTGGCCGTCTCTGGAGCGCACTTTGACCGACAGAGAGGTACACTCCAGGGGTACTGGAGAGGTCCAGTTCCATTGGTGCTTCCCTGTGCTCTGGTCTGCTGTTACACCCACTGTCTCCTACCAAAACAAATAGTCTAATTGTTAAGACGTTGGTTTCCTGAGCGGGAGACCAGGGTTCAGATCCCACCCATGACAATAGAACATGCTGAAGACATGACATTCCAAGTTGAACACGTAGCCTACAGACGCTAAGAAAGCATAAGGATCTGTCACAATATACCTTTTCAATGAAAACAGTCTTGATCAAATATAATACCTCACTTACATTCAACACAATCTCCATGAGTTCAGTGCGTAGAATCTCCACGTCAAAGGTAGAGGCGTGGCCGTCCTCCCATGTGACCGACAGCTTTTGTGCTGCCTTGTCTGCGTCCAGCCTCACTTGCTGTGGAGGCGCGAGTCCTGCAGACCCATCGACAGTTTGAAAACCCAAATACAGAATGCTTCAGTTAGTGACTATCAAGTCCTGAGCATCAATATTATCTGATAATAAAACGTTATGATGCTTTATTACTTGTTATGTGCATTTACTGAACCTTCATAAAGTCTTATTAGAAGGCTTAAAAAATTATATAAACACCAATCCATCTCACTGGATAGACTTACCACTGGCCTGGCTCTCTGTGACTCTCAGGCCCAGGAGCAGAATGCAGAAGAACCAACTTAGCATGGTGGTCAGTTAGATCCTTCCAGGCAATGCAGTCTGTGGTTTACTGCAACAGCAGTTGAGACATGGCGATGGGAGACAACAGCACTTCCCTGTCGACACACACAATAAGACAATAAATATTAAAGACTAAATTATGAATACATTAGCCTTAAAGTCTCTCCATCACGTAATTTATCATGTGATTTACCTGAGACCGCAGAATTGCAATATCAGTTAGACACCCTATGATTACGTGGCACAAGTCGGCGTAGTTGTTTGACTTGAATTCAGCAGAGCCACTTCAATTTCGAGAAAGAGTAACAACAAACATTAGGCTACTACATACAATATAATATAATGTTTTCTTTTAAGTCTACAAAAAAAAAAAGCTATTACTGGCATAAAATGTGACCAAACTAGCAGCTGCACTAGTAAAAAAATATCACAGACAAATTGTTCCCATTTCCCTGTACAGTAGATTTGCATGCAGTAGCCTAGCTCTGGAACAAGGACTTAGTGCAAATCACTTTACTAAGAGAGCAGAGGGAAGTTGTAATAATGAACAAGATACAAGCTGTTATGATTAGCCTAGCCCAACAAGGAGCCACAACATTTTGGATGACTTTTGGACTTGCTTCTGCTTAAAAATGTCATTACATTGCATTAAATTTGTTTTGAGAAACGTTGGATTGTAAATACATGCATGTGAATAAGTTGAAGTCGGCTTTTAGCAGACAGTGATAGGTCAGATCAGATTCTTCATTATTCCATTACACATTAACAGAGCCAGATGTGTTTACTGCATAGGTACAGTTGAAGTCGGAAGTTTACATACACCTTAGTCAAATACATTTAAACTCAGTTTTTCACAATTGCTGACATTTAATCCTAGTAAAAATTCCCGGTCTTAGGTCAGTTAGGATCACCACTTTATTTAAAAAATGTGAAATGTCAGAATAATAGTAGAGAGAATTATTTATTTAAGCTTTTCTTTCTTTCATCACATTCCCAGTGGGTCAGAAGTTTACATACACTCAATTAGTATTTGGTAGAATTGCATTTAAATTGTTTAACTTGGGTCAAACGTTTTGGGTAGCCTTCCACAAGCTTCCCACAATAAGTTGGGTGAATTTTGGCCCATTCCTCCTGACAGAGCTGGTGTAACTGAGTCAGGTTTGTAGGCCTCCTTGCTCGCACACACCTTTTCAGTTCTGCCCACAAATGTTCTATAGGATTGAGGTCAGGGTTTGTGATGGCCACTCCAATACCTTGACTTTGTTGTCCTTAAGCCATTTTGCCACAACTTTGGAAGTATGCTTGGGGTCATTGTCCATTTGGAAGACCCATTTGCGACCAAGCTTTAACTTCCTGACTGATGTTTTGAGATGTTGCTTCAATATATGCACATAATTTTCCTTCCTCATGATGCAATCTATTTTGTGAAGTGCACCAGTCCCTCCTGCAGCAAAGCACCCTCACAGCATGATGCTGCCACCCCCGTGCTTCAAGGCTGGGATGGTTTTCTTCGGCTTGCAAGCAACCCCCTTTTTCCTCCAAATACAACAATGGTCATTATGGCCAAACAGTTATATTTTGTTTCATCAGACCAGAGGACATTTCTCCAAAAAGTACGATCTTTGTCCCCATGTGCAGTTGCAAACAGTAGTCTGGCTTTTTATGGCGGTTTTGGAGCAGTGGCTTCTTCCTTGCTGAGCGGCCTTTCAGGTTATGTCGATATAGGACTCGTTTTACTGTGGATATAGATACTTTTGTACCTGTTTCCTCCAGCATCTTCACAAGGTCCTTTGCTAGTTCTGGGATTGATTTGCACTTTTCACACCAAAGTACGTTCATCTCTAGGAGACAGAACGTGTCTCCTTCCTGAGTGGTATGACAGCTGCATGGTCCCATGGTGTTTATACTTGCATACTATTGTTTGTACAGATGAACGTGGTACCTTCAGGCGTTTGAAAATTGCTCCCAAGGATGGACCAGACTTGTGGAGGTCTACACATTTTTATCTGAGGTCTTGGCTGATTTCTTTTGATTTTCCCATGAGGTCAAGCAAAGAGGCACTGAGTTTGAAGGTAGGCCTTGAAATACATCCACAGGTACACCTCCAATTCACTCAAATTATGTAAATTAGCCTATCAGAAGCTTCTAAAACCATGACATCATTTTCTGGAATTTTCCAAGCTGTTTAAAGGCACAGTCAACTTAGTGTATGTAAACTTCTGACCCACTGGAATTGAGATAAGGTGAATTATAAGTGAAATAATCTGTCTGTAAACAATTGTTGGAAAAATTACTTGTGTCATGCACAAAGTAGATGTCCTAACCGACTTGCCAAAACGATAGTTTGTTAACAAGAAATTTGTCGAGTGGTTGAAAAACGAGTTTTAATCACTCCAACCTAAGTGTATGTAAACTTCCGACTTCAACTGTATGTAGGATCTTAACATGATCACACTTTTGTTGCTGAGAATGTTCCTACACAGCAGGAAATGCAAACTTGTAGTGTATTCGAGGTTTGAAAAGCTTCTAAAGTTTGCTATTTCCACTTTAAAATGTCGATTTGCCTTAAGGATCGTTCTGTCACTTCAGAGATCTCAGATTGTTCTGAAATCGTTTCTGTAGTTAGAAACAGATAAGATTAGCGTTCCTGCAGCATTATTTTGTTGAAATATAATTTGATCTCTGAGAAATTAAGCTAATTGATTGCACCCAAATTGGCCATTTTAATTTATAGGATTCATATAATATTCAATAAATACAGTACCTAATATCCGATTTGGACTAAGCTTTTTTCTAACAATGAGTAAGACATGGGGAAACCAAAGAAATGGTCAAAAGCCAACACCCTATGCCAGTCCCACGCCAACAACGAGTATTTAGTATCAGTTCTCTATGTCTGACATGTAGTATGGAGCTGCAGTTTGGAGTATAAACCATACTATGTAATGTATTCTCAGGGAATTTTGTGATGTTTTCTTCCCCCTGTTTAAAGAAATTAGTAATTTAAGTTGTTAAGTTTATGCCCCAGACTACATCCTGATATTACCAGGTTCTGAGCACTAGATGGTGCTTTTCCATGTGATAATGTTACCATTCATTAGAGTTACCAGCCTCAGAAATTGCAACCCAAATAAATGCTTCAGAGTTCAAGTAACAGACACATCTCAACATCAACTGTTCAGAGGAGACTGCATGAATCATGCCTTCATGGTCGAATTGCTGCAAAGACACCACTACTAAAGGACACCAATAACAAGAAGAGACTTGCTTGGGCCAAGAAACACGAGCAATGGACATTAGACCGGTGGAAATCTGTCCTTTGGTCTGATGAGTCCAAATTTAAATTACAGTTGTGAGTCTTTCTGGATTTAGTCTCTAAGAGCTTTACACACCTGGATTGTACAATATTTGCACATTTTTATTTTAGAAATTCTTCAAGCTCTGTCAAGTTGGTCGTTGATCATTGCTAGACAGCCATTTTCAGGTCTTGCCATAGATTTTCAAGCCGATTTAAGTCAAAACTCGGCCACTCAGGAACATTCACCGTCTTCTTGGTAAGCAACTCCAGTGTAGATTTGGCCTTGTGTTTTAGGTTATTGTCCCGCTGAAAGGTGAATTAATTAAGCTCAATTTAATCCATTTTAAATTCAGGCTGTAACACAACAAAATGTGGAAGAAGTCAAGGGGTGTGAATACTTTCTGAAGACATTGTAAACCCAACAACTTAAATTACTAATTGGCCTGGGGTGTGGGGGGTCCGTGGGTGGCTTTTGACCATTTCTTTGGATTCCTCTAACTCATTGTTAGAAAAAAGTTTGGTCCAAATCGGATGTTAGGTGCTATATTTATTAAATATTATATGAATCCTATAAATTAAAATTGACAATTTGGGTGTAATCAATTAGCTTAATTTCTCAGAGATCAAATTATATTTCAACAAAATAATGCTGCAGGAATGCTAATCTTATCTGTTTCTATCAACATAAACAATTTCAGAACAATCTGAGATGGTGGGTGTCAATCTTCTTTCTTGTGCTTTTTGAGGTGGAAAGACCCCTAATAAAATTTTTTATCAACCCCTACAAAAAAATGGCCATTAATTATAATCCACATAATAATTCACATTTCCTGTCGGTTCAGGATTATTTTCTTGCTGTAGCAAACTGGCTCAAATTAAGATCTTACATCTGTAAAATGTAGCCTGGTCCCAGATCTGTTGGTGCTATCATGTCAACTCCTTGTCATGCCAAACATGCAACGAGTGACAAGGAGTTGACATGATAGCAGAAACAGTTCTGGGAGCAGGCTATAAAATGCCCTTAGGTGTGATACATCTATGTGCAAGAGCTAGGGATTGGGGGTTAAATCAAATTGGATGTAACATTGTATTGTGATGTTGTCATGACTCCACTCCAGTTGGTCTAGTTCCATTGGGCAAGCTTGAGCAGGCCTATCATCACGCATTACAATATTAACACAACTGTGACTTATAGGAGTGTCGATCTCTACCAAACCCATTAAAAGGAACATTGTAGGCGGCTAACTGGGTTTGCTACTTTTAGAAAATAAAATACTCTACAGGTGAGGAAAAATAGAGCCCAGCCCTAATGCAGATCTCCCAATGAAAAAGACATGACAGTTTCACGCATCAATGGCATTGCATGGTTTGGCTCGAAACATCATCCACCAGAAATGAACAAGGTGTCTCTAGTCTACAGGTGTATAAAGTGGCCCTTACATTTTTACATTTTTAGTCATTTAGCAGACGCTCTAATCCAGAGCGATTTACAGGAGCAATTAGGGTTAAGTGCCTTGCTCAAGGACACATCGGCAGATTTTTCACCTAGTCGGCTCGGGGATTAGAACCAGCGACCTTTCGGTTGCTGGCACAACGCTCTTAACCACTAAGCTACCTGCCGCCCCAGGTATTTCACATCCAAACGACCTCAGAATTATGTGGAAAATGACACACTGAAGCAAGAAGTGATAAAGCATACAAGCGCATTCCCAAAGTCCTATAAGGAGAAGGAAGTTCAAGTGCAGAGTAGAGGAATCAATATTGGCTGCTACAAATCCCTAGAGACTACAAACACCACAATAGTCCGCATCCCACAACTGATTGTTTTACAGAAGAACCATGTACAATAATGCATTTCTGTGGAGCATTGAAACCAAGGATGGGGGAGGGTGTTTGCTTCTGTTTTACTGGAAGGAGCCGATCTAGTCCTCTGCCGTTTTTAGGAACGTGGCCAACTAACTAGTTTCCTTCCTTTCCTTCAAGTTAATAAATAGAAAAGACAGTGCTGATCTTAATGTGTCTTTGTTCTCTTTCTGGGGAAAATACAGCTCACTATCAAAATACACAGTACAATGAGAGACAGACAGAATAATAAGGCTAGCATGTATCCTAAATGAAAAGGGTTATAACTGAAAAAGCTTGCAGCAGCACCTCACTTGAACACAGAACTATTCTTCCACTGTGTAAATAATCAGCGGTGTGAGAAAAGGAACACGGTCACAGCATTTCAAATACACAAGTCGAACAACTCACACTGCACTCCCTTTAAGGGATTTTAAGTCATGTTCAGTCAAAGCTGGGATGTTAGAGGAACACATCCTCATCAGTTTTAGCGCTGTACTGAAAGTACTCTATCTTGAAAACAGTGCTGAAATGCACATTTGGACCAATGAACAAGATACCAAAATATTGTTTTTGAGTAAAGTGATCCTTTCCTCCCATCCACGTAATATTATCTCGCCTAGATGCACTAGCTTGTTACTTGACACTCTTCAGTGATAAATAACTATTGTAAATCAATACATGTTTAGGTAACTAGCATGTGTTAATGTACAGAGAGGTAGTAATGGGCCATTTCATGCAGCAATCCAAAACAAAACACCAGTGAGTACTGTTAACATTGTATTTTTAACTTAGTTTAGTTCAAAGAAATGTAATGTCTGGATATTTTTAAAATTTCAATAATGGTTGAATAGTAACTAATAAGGACATAATTAAATTGTAGGGTTGGTGGGGCTGCCTAGCTAGCTAACGTTACCCGTCTATTTAAATGAGCAATATCTTCCAAATAATGTTTTTGATACTGGGTTTACTAAGCTAGTTAGCTAACGTTATGTTCATATTCAAATAGCTAATCTTAAATGAATAGAAGTAAATTGTTATCAAACGTATGATAGCCAGTAAGGTTAGATATGATTATAATACACATTGTATTTCAAAACAACATGCCATGGCCTTTCCTTAGCTATCTAACGTTAACGTTGTAAATTTGCTCATTTTAAATAAGTAGTTAACGCGTTAGGCCTTGATGCAACCTACACACCAATGATTCTTTACAAAATGTCTCTAGACTAGATGATGCAAGCCACCAACACCATAATAATAATAGCCTCACTATAACGTTAGCTAACTAGTTTATAGTTTTGTCAAATTCTACTAGGCTACTTGCCATCAGACTATATTTGGCTTTCTAGCTAGCTCCGCTACATGCAGACATGATGTTGTTTCATGTTTTGGTAGAGCGCGTCAGTTAACACATTTCAGTGTAATAAAAATATCCCACATTACCTTACGCCGACCTCGGATCACGTAGTAGATCTTATTTTATAACAATTCACCTTTTACTTATCAACAACCAGTGGATATTAGATACAAAACAAATCTAAAGACAGTTTAAATGTGAGTGTCAACAGGCTAGCTGTCTGGTCAAGCTTCGTCGTGTGTTCAGAAAATTCAGAATTCCAGAATGTCGGATTTACTGGAAAAGGTTTACGATACACGTCCGATTCCATTTCGGTCTGGAGCCTCCTTTCTCCACTGCTTCATTCCTTAGCTGTTTGCAAATCTGAAGTAATTTGATAGATACGATCAATGTGGCCATGGCTACACACATTATCTTGATAGGCCTTCGAATTAATTTGATCTATTAAGAGCTTTCAAGTCCAGTACATCAAAGGGATGGAAGAATAAGAGACTAGAGACTGAAATGGAACTGGGCCTGAAACGTCAAATTGGTGACAAACGGACAGCATTTCCGGTCTCGCCTGTATTGAATCATTTTATTGACCATCCACTTTGCAGATATGAGATCATTTTCCGTTGCCGTAGTATTTCATTATGGCCAATAAAGATGTTTGCAAATAAGTGCAAATATATTTGTATATGCTTGACACAATTCAGAGAGCTTTATGTAAGGTAGTGTCAAAATAAACACAGCTCCCTCTCAAGACCCCTGCTGTGCCATTAGTTTTACGGGGGGATATAGCTTATGTAATTATGTTCACGAGCACAAATAACCACATCTGTAATTTAAATCACGTCCGAATCTGTAATGTCGGTCATTTTTACATAGCAGGAGAGTAATAATTCCAGCCGGAAAAATCTAGTTTTTCGACTAACTCCACCTCGGTCCTCTGATAATACTAGTCCCGTGCGAATCGACATCCCTGTTTTGTGAAAGAAATGTCTGAGTTTGACAGGTGTTTCTCGCGGTTTCAGCAAGAAAACAGTAACTGATTCGATCATTTGATGCTTAAAACGAAGTGCTGCGCATAGCCAATATATGAAGGGCCTACATGTATCAATTTTCAGTGAATGCTTTTGCTTAGAGGTTTTGTGCCAATTAAAGTTTGCCTGCCAAGTTTATAAACCAAAGCATACCAATGACGGTTTGCTTTGGTTTAGAAATTTGGCAGGCAAACTTGAGTAACCAGTGTAGGCTGCCTGTTATCGACTAGACATGTTGAAATGTCTTCACGCCTAGATTAAAAACCTCCAGGCTTCAATCATAACGGTGTTCTTTTTTTTTTTTTTTTTCTTTCTTTTTTTTTAACGAATTACAGGGGCGGAATCGTTCTCTGGAATAATGGCTCTTCTGGGGTAATAATTACACAACCAACTTTCTCTAGTAATACTAGTCCCATGCGAATAGGGCTTTCATTGCTTTATCAAGCCAAATTACAGAGATAATTCCCGCTCAATTAGTACAGTGCAAGTGATTTTTTGCATTCTTCAGACCTTTAGCTTCGTTTACACGTGCAGTCCAATGCCGTGTTCACGTCCTATCGGAAACTCGGAGCCTCCGAGTAAAAATGACATAAGTTATTTGCCTACCACTTTGATGATGCAAAATATTTTTTCTTGTGAAACAAACAAGAAATAAGACAAAAAACCAGAAAACTTAAGCACGCATAACTATTCACCCCCCCAAAGTCAATACTTTTAGAGCCACCTTTTGCAGCAATTACAGCTGCAAGTCTCTTGGGGTATGTCTCTATAAGCTTGTCACAGCTAGCCACTGGGATTTTTGCCCATTCTTCAAGGCAAAACTGCTCCAGCTCCTTCAAGTTGGATGGGTTCCGCTGGTGTACAGCAATCTTTAAGTCATACCACAGATTCTCAATTGGATTGTGGTCTGGGCTTTGATTAGGCCATTCCAAGACATTTAAATGTTTCCCCTTAAACCACTCAAGTGTTGCTTTAGCAGTATGCTTCGGGTCATTGTCCTGCTGGAAGGTGAACCTCCATCCCAGTCTCAAATCTGTGGAAGAATGAAACAGGTTTCCCTCAAGAATGTCCCTTTATTTAGCACCATCCATCATTCCTTCAATTCTGACCAGTTTCCCAGTCCCTGCCGATGGTGTTCTTGGGGTGATGAGAGGTGTTGGGTTTGCGCCAGACATAACGTTTTCCTTGATGGCCAAAAAGCTCAATTTTAGTCTCATCTGACCAGAGTACCTTCCGCCATATGTTTGGGGAGTCTCCCACATGCCTTTTGGCGAACACCAAACGTGTTTGCTTATTTTCTTCTTCAAGCAATGGCTTTTTTTCTGTCCACTCTTCCGTAAAGTCCAGCTCTGTAGAGTGTACGGCTTAAAGTGGTCCTATGGACATATACTCCAATCTCCGCTGTGGAGCTTTGCAGCTCCTTCAGGGTTATCTTTGGTGTCTTTGTTGCCTCTCTGATTAATGCCCTCCTTGCCTGGTCCGTGAGTTTTGGTGGGCGGCCCTCTCTTGGCAGGTTTGTTGTGGTGCCATATTCTTTCAATTTTTTTATAATGGATTTAATGGTGCTCCGTGGGATGTTCAAAGTGTCTGATATTTTTTTATAACCCAACCCTGATCTGTACTTCTCCACAACTTTGTCCCTGACCTGTTTGGAGAGCTCCTTGGTCTTCATGGTGCCGCTTGCTTGGTGGTGACCCTTGCTTAGTGGTGTTGCAGACTCTGGGGCCATTCAGAACAGGTGTATATATACTGAGATCATGTGACAGATCATGTGACACTTAGATTGCACACAGGTGGACTTTATTTAACTGATTATGTGACTTCTGAAGGTAATTGGTTGCACCAGATCTTAATTAGGGGATTCATAGCAAAGGGGGTGAATACATATGCATGGACCACTTTTCCGTTATTTATTTTTTTGAATTTTTTTAAACAAGTCATTTTTTTCATTTCACATCATTTTGACTATTTTGTGTATGTCCATTACATGAAATCCAAATAAAAATCCAATCATAAGGAAAACGCAGAGGGGGATGAATACTTTTGCAAGGCACTGTAGTGAAGCTAGAGCTGATTAAATGCCTAGGGTGTAAGGGTCCTGAACTGGGGTTCCTATGACTAGTGAAATAAGTAGAAATACGTAAATAATTGTTTTAGAAAAAGTAATGCAATGGGTATCTATCGCAAGATGTAAATGTACATGTTTTGTTATTCCAGGAACTAACCCTGAAATAGAAATTAGAAAATATTCCTGCAGGTTATAAATATATATTGTAGAAAACAACTAACTGATTAAGTGTGTTTTGGGAACAGTACTGTGTGAATTGTGATATGAGAGTTGTGTGAGTGTGGAAATAAGTGTCAATGTGAAGTTTGGATAATAACATATAGGAATTTGCATAATACGCTGATTGAAATGTGGATAATAAGTTTCTATATATAAAGGTAATCTAGGGGTTCCGTCCATCACTGCCCATCATAGTAATATCACGAGGTACGTGTGGCACATTATTCCGATGACCAGCCGGGTCGCGTCCGGGAAACCAAAGTGTTTGGGTTCTTTGGGGAGTATGGTTGCAAAGCTGATTTGTAGCTTTGTAGAGATAAGGTTAAAGCATTATATGACTGTCTAGAGGGTCTGGGAAATAGAGTCTCAGAAAAAGATTGGCGTATGTCCACTTTTGGTAAAAGTATGGGGAATTGACTTACCCCTAACCAATAAAACTATAAATGCTTATGGGATTTCCTCCGTCCTGGTAATACATTTTGAAACAAAACCTATGCCCTGGTAAATAGAACCATTTAAATGTTGAACATGTAGATTTATTTTTAAACTTAAGGCTATAATTTATTGTACTCCCGATGGAGTTTTTGTTGATATTCCAAACGTTGACGTTCTAAACCAATTCGTGAGTAGGCAAAATGGAAAGTGTCTGTTTTCCTGTCTACGCCATTTTAGGCGCCAGACTTATTATGGACAGAGATCGCCATCTACAGGGGACGGGTGGACAGTCCAGGCCAGTTATAGTGGAAGTTACAGTCGGAAAAAAACCTAGTCTCGTAAGCTCCCTCCAAAGTTTATATTTTCCCTTCTGAAATTGGCCGATGTATTTTATAAATTTGGCGCATTACATGTACATCTTAAAAGAATAGACATTTTAAGAAGTGTGATGCAGAAAGTGAATGTCCAATAGAGGTTGGTAATAAACATATAGAGTAACATTGTTAAGGTAGACTACAATTAAAGCAATGACTTCTAATAAAGAGAGAATTCTCATGTTTGTTTTGTTTTCTAAACCTTACAATAAGTGACAGTGACAAAGGCATTGATAAAGAGGGTTGATGTAGAATCTAACGAGTGTTGTCAGTATATGAATGGTAATACAGTTGAAGTCTGAAGTTTACATACACTTAGGTTGGAGTCATTAAAACTTGTTTTTCAACCACTCCACAAATGTATTGTTAACAAACTATAGTTTTGTCAAGTCGGTTAGGACATCTACTTTGTGCATGACACAAGTAATTTTTCCAACAATTGTTTACAGATTATTTCACTTATAATTCACTGTTTCACAATTCCAGTGGGTCAGAAGTTTAAATACACTAAGTTGACTGTGCCTTTAAACAGCTTGGAAAATACCAGAAAATGATGTCATGGCTTTAGAAGCTTCTGATAGGCTAATTTACATAATTTGAGTGAATTGGAGGTGTACCTGTGGATTTATTTCAAGGCCTACCTTCAAACGCAGTGCCTCTTTGCTTGACATCCTGGGAAAATCCAAAGAAATCAGCCAAGACCTCAGAAAAACAATTGTAGACCTCCACAAGTCTGGTTCACCCTTGGGAGCAATTTCCAAACACCTGAAGGTACCACGTTCATCTGTACAAACAATAGTACGCAAGTATAAACACCATGGGACCATGCAGCCGTCATACCGCTCAGGAAGGAGACGCGTTCTGTCTCCTAGAGATGAACGTACTTTGGTGCGAAAAGTGCAAATCAATACCAGAACAAAAGCAAAGGACCTTGTGAAGATGCTGGAGGAAACAGGTACAAAAGTATCTATATCCACAGTAAAACGAGGACTATATCAACATAACCTGAAAGGCCGCTCAGCAAGGAAGAAGCCACTGCTCCAAAACCACCATAAAAAAGCCAGACTATGGTTTGCAACTGCACATGGGGACAAAGATCGTACTTTTTGGAGAAATATGCTCTGGTCTGATGAAACAAAAATAGAAATGTTTGGCCATAATGACCATCATT